GGAACATGCTGTGCTAGGCATTGTCCTGCCACAGAACAAAGAGGTAGTGCCTGCCACAAACAGTTTATGAATCAAACAATGTTGTATCGGGAGTTAATTTATTTAATCTGTGTAAAATCAGTTTCAAGGGTAGTACTACTCTATTAATAGCCTTTCAAGTAGTCTTGCTAACCTGATAGCAGTCCTGATTTGTTGTAATAATCAGCATTTGTTGTTAAAAAATTATCTTGGACTTTGTGGTTTCTTTGTACCAACAGCTTTGCCACAAAATGTAAAACTGTTGAGGAGGGCATTAGAGCTGAGGCTGTTTATGTTATATTTACCAAGAAACAACTGCAATCCAGATGAGATGTTTTCCTTTCTTCTCTATGATCTGGCTGGCTGGCTGTGCTTATTAACTTAATTTGCAAGTTTCATGCACGTAGTTTGTATTAAATACAGTAACAAAGCCAGTGATTGATAAGGTTTCTCCAATGTTAATAGCAGTGATTTAGCTTCTGGAATCTTAATTTTTTTTTTAATTCCATTTGTTTTTCCTTTCTATAATACTTTTTTTTTTGGTGCTCCTTTAGGTGGGATGATAGCTTTGATTTGGATGCTAATATGCAATAATAGCTTTAAAAATATTTATCACTTTTTACAATGGAATAATGTGGTTTTAACTTGTTTTCTCTTGGATAAAAAGTACTTTGGGAAATAATTTCCATCTGGTTATTTGAACTAATTGATAGATGATGGTGAAAAAAAGGAATCCAAAGCCATAGCATGGAATCCTTATCTCTAGGCCCAATTAGCTTTTCTTTAGCTTCAGGGTTAAAGATATAGGGTGGGGGACTGGTAGTGATGTTGTATGTGTGCATGTCAAAGTTTGTGATAATAACTGGAAATAAATGGAAAACAGAAAGAAAGCTTCTTGAGCTATATATGATGAAATCTGGTTGAGCTTGCTGCCTTAAGATTGGCAGTTATGGAACTGGGATACCAGGGCCTGGTTCTTTCTCAGTTCTATTGGTATATGAATTTTTGACTATGAGTAGTTCACATATAGCATCTATATAATGTATCAGTTTGCTTTGAACATGTGTGTGGTAAAACAGGTTCACTCGGAGCAGAATAGGGACAGTAGGGTCATCCTACCAATGGCTGAATGTTACTAGATACTACAGATTTGTTGCTTTAGTCTTTTATAAAGATAAGTCTTCCTGTTCCGGAGAGCTTTTAATTCATATAATGTTGAAAATATGAGATGAAAGGCTGACACAAGAAAGGAGCAATTAATCTAGGGATAAACTTTATCTCTTAGCCTGTTTTTTTTTGTGTGGGTTGTTTGGTTTTTTTTTAACAAGTAAGTCAACATTAAAACATTATATCTGAAAAGGAAAACTGTGTCTCAGTTTCAATTTTTCCCTTATGCTTTCACTCTGGAGTTACAACTTGGCACTCAATCTTAAAAATAAACTCTGTAAGGTGAAGGTTAAGTGATAGTAGCAAATCCTTCCCAAGTTGCATTGACTTTCTGGTGAGGAGGCTGTATGAAGCCTGGGTTTTTGTGTGTGGCTATTTTCTTTTTCTCTTGTAGAAGGAGTTTTAGCAACTGTAAATGTTTCCAGATGGTAAGGATAAAAAGGTAAAAGTGAGTTATAAATATATTAAAATTTCTCCTTCAGGAGTTTAATGCAATGCATTTTGAAAATTCAATGCTTCCTTAAAATGTCAGAGTAAAGATGTTAAAGAACTATCTTGGTTGTGCATGAAATATACTGGCTTAAAAATAGCTGTAACTCTTTACTGCAATCTTTGTCACCTCTTTGAGATTTAGAAGACTCCTTTATACTTTCTGCTGCTTAATATCACTATCTTTTCCCACTGACTTAATTGCTTTGACTTGCTACTGTTCCGAACTCCTTAAGTTGTTTCATTTAAACTGCTCAGCTTCAGTTTCTCTTAATTTAAAATAAACACTTGCTTCAGAAATTTAATTTGAAATGTGTTCTTCACAGCATATATTGCCCTTTTACTGCAGTCTTACATCCTATTTTCAGTTCTCTCAAAATATTTAATGGTGTATTTTTATATTGTCTTGACTTTATGTCCACCCACGCTTTCACTGATCTCCAATCTTCTTTCTGATGTCTGAGTTCATTGAACTTATGTAAGGTCACAGGTGGCTTGTTTGTGGTTAAATCTGAGGTGTAATTCTTATTTCATCTGTTTTAATCTGTCTGTCACCTTTGGGACTCAACACTGTCCCTTCTGTTTTCGTTACTTCATGTATGTGGTGTTTTCATTGATATTTTTAAATTGTATGGTGGTGTTTTTCCATAGACTCTATAATTTCTACCCAAAGTTGGCATTTTCTGATGTATTTTACTAATTTCAGTTCTAAGCTCCACTGTAACTTCTAGATTCCTCTAGTTAACCCACTACCTTCCTTTTTAACCTCCTCTTTTTGCATTTTTAGTTTTTGCCAAGACCTTGTGTGTCTAGGCTCTGTATCTGAAGTTATTTCCAAAAGCTGCCTTGTTTTGCTCTGAGTCTAACTCCATTTCCTTCGAGTTCAGGATTTTATGGAATTAAGTTCGATTCTTTGCCTTGTACCACTATAGCTTTGCTAACTTTCCTCAGTCCTTCAGACTTAACGAGAAATTTTTGGTGACTCTCCCACACCTGACCTTTATCTCCCTTCTCCTGTTCATCAGTCATTTTTCTTTTCCTACTGTTCTGAATGTGGTGCCTTCTCATAGGAGCATCTCAGTTCAGTGGATTTTAAATACCACAGTGTTTTCAGTCTCTTTCAGTCTTGTATATTGACCTTAAAGATACTAATTTTCTTCTCTCTATGACATTTCCATCTTCTTTGTGTACGTGCCAAGTTTTTAACTTTTTCTGCTTTTTCTATGACCCCTCTACACTTGCTGTGTTGTACCTGACTCCTGTGTTCTAATGCTCTAATGGTGGTAACTACAGAGGAGCTAGTAGTATCATTTGTTAATAGCCCATGTTTATGACAAGTTGAAGAAAGGAATACTAACGATGGCTAAAAAACCTTTTTATTTCTTTATGGTCTAAGAGGATGGACTAAAAGACTGTTCATCTTCCTCAAAGGAGCATCAAGATGTGTTACATATTTACTGGAAGCCTTGAGAGGGGAGACCATATTGTGTAGAGCACTCTTAAAGCCCTTCTGCTAAATGTATAGTTGATAGATCTGTAGCGTAGAGACTTGTATTTCTGTTTTGTATCTGAAATTTAAAGTTGTCTTCATAAAGGAACACAAAAAGAGACTCACTTTTGTACTTGGTATTTTATGAGCCTTTCTAATATGAGTTATGGGAATAGTTCAGTCATATATAATAGAAACAGGAAAAATTTATGATTCTAGAGGTTAGACGCTCAAGAGCTTGCCCATATCTCATTAGCCAGAATCAACATTTAGGCTCCTATCAGTAACCTGGAAACTATACATTACTTTTTTTTTTTTGATGCATTACAGTAGGATCAGTTAATCTAAGAATTGCCATAGAAACACGTGGCATTTGGAAGCTTCAACATATAAAGGTATTACTTGATGTTTGCAGTAAAAAAAAAAAAAAAAAAAAGTGTTAAAATGTTTAGGAATAAGACTGATCTAATTCTGGCTTCAGAAAAATAGAAAAATCTGTGTATTTAGTCTAAATTGGCCTAGCTTTTTCAGTAGTCAGTGGGGAAAGGTATCTTCAGAGGGCAGGTCATCCTTTCCCATTTTAGACACTTTATCACATTGTATTTAACTGTGAGGTGAGTTGTCCTAGAAATTTATGATGGGGGTTCTTCTTTCTACCCAGGGAGATACCTCTGCCCCCAGAATTCTTGTAGTGCAGTTCTGTTGATGTTGGGAAATACCTCTGGGAATGATGACAGAACAAATATAAAAGTTGTCAAATTACCTGAATGTTTCCAAGCAAACTGATGATGATTTACGGAATATATTTGAAATCACACATCAGAAGAAAAAGCAATAATATAGCAATCTTGAATAAGGATCAAAATATTTCAACAAGTAGTACAAGAATATTTATTGGAAACCTATCAAGTCAAAGGCATTCAAGCTTTAACATGTTAACTTTCCTGAAGTTACTGCAAGAAATAATTGTTTTTCTTTCTGCTTCCTGTTGGTTTGCAAGACAACCATCATTAAGGCTGATATTTGGAAACAGTCATATATAATTGGAGGGGTGAGTTGTGTTTTTATACATATTTGAGTGAGAAGCAAACATTAGATTTAATGGAAGGTGTCAACAACCTGAAACTTATACAGCTGTCTCTGTATTGATTAACTGATTAATGCAATTAAAAACTTCAGGGCCCCTTTCGTGATAAGATTTTTTCAAGAGGTCTAGATGCTTTGGTTTGTATTTAACTGAAACCTCCTTTCATAGGAATTTTCAAGTAATATTAAAATACTGAGCTGCGTTGGTGGATAGCTGTATTTCTTAAATACAGTAGTTAGTCTAATAAAAATTCTTTCCCTCCATGTCTTGATGACTATAACAATCTGTCACATGAATAAGTATCTAGCGTATTGGTTTATTTTAAAGTCATATACAATTAAAATATACTCATTTTAGTTATAATGCTGTATTCTTTCTAACCATTTTAATCATTTCAGTTTATATGTCACTTGAAGCAAAATCTGTGTGATCAAAACTATGTATGAACACAAGGCAAAGTATTTAAAACTTGCAGAGCCCCCTCCATCTGATGGATATTAGAAGCTTTAGTTAAGTCACATGAAAGCATGTATTACAAATGCTTCACCATGTTTGTCTTTCCTCCAGATGGTAATTAGACCTTTTCCTCTTGCATAGCAGTCACGAGCCGATTTGCTCTTTTTGTTTGTGGCTTTCAAATTTGCATTAGTTCACATAGCAGCTAGGATTAGAAATTTATTAAGGGATAAAGATAGCTTTGCATCTCAGTATTGCTTTTGGTCAATACTGGCACAAAAAAATGTTTGGACAAAACCCACACATAGATTGCTGCTTTTCTTTCTGCAAATTCTAAATTTCTTCCTCTGTTTCCCAGGAACCCTTTTTTCTCCAGAGTGGATGTTGTGTTCTCTTGTGATCCTGATCAGCTCTGGAATCTTGGGACTGAATAACTTGTTCTGTAATATGAAAATGAGTTATTTTAATATCTGGTTTTTATTACGGCTGGCCAGCCAGCCAGCAAACCCAATCCTGGTTATGTGGTAAGCATAAGCAGGAAGTTTATTATGCCTTCTACAGCTATTAAAACTATACCATAGTGAAAAGTAGGGAACATCTCAGAGACAAACACACACGAAAAAGGACATCTGACAAAAAGATAGCACTGAAAAGTACTTAATCTTTAGCAATATCCCAGAGATATTGCAGTGGCATAATGCTGGAGATGTGATTACTATGATAGCAAAAAGGGGAAGTAACATTTATAATGTGAGATACCAACTGGTTATTAATGTAAAGGTAGACTTTAAAAAATAAACTGATTTTACTGTGCAAACAGCATAGCTTTTCATGGAAAATGTTATTTTTATATTACAACCATGTTTAAAATAGTTTCTGTATGTGTAATGTATGCTTTTCACTTAGATGTTTATCAGCTATTGTATAAGTCTCATTTTTGAGGTAAGAAAATAGTTACTATGTGTTGTAAAGTAGAATTTGGTTTCATGTAGGATCTCTTCTTGGTACAGCAGCAATGTGTGGAGCTGTAATAATGTGTCAGTTGTTAAGGAGAACAGCAGCTATTGTGTGTTCAACAATAGTATATGCAAAATTTGGGCACTAGGACCTGCTTATGAGAAGAGTGTTGTGTTGTGATGCACTTTGTCTTGAGTGCCCTGGAATCTTTATTTTTTGACACAAGGGGGATTTAATATCACATCCACATAATTATGTTTTATAGTACACCATGTGATTTTTATGAATTAAGCCAAAAGAGCCCATTACATTAAGTGGACTGAATTTTCTGTAGCAGAAAATAAAATTACCTACAGGAAAAATAATTCCTGTGGCTTCTGGCTGAGCTTTAATGTATTGTTCTGGATACAGTATAGAAGAGTGACTTACTTTCAGAAGCAGGAGGTAGGGAGTGGCATCTCTTTGAATTCAAATGTAATTAAGGAGACATTTAGATCTATTTTATAAAAAGCTGTTTGGATTTTTACATACCAATAAGTTGGAAATAGCAGTGACTTTAACATGACTTCTGTGACATCAATTCATGCAGGGAACATAAGAAGTTGCAGCTATAGTAATGGGTGAGGTATTTCCTTTTAAGAATCTTAACAGTGTTATGTCCATTTGGTGCCTTCCTACTGGATTTGGAAAACCTTTTAAAGGTGAGTAAAAATCCTCACAAATGAAGAAGTCTAGCCTTCTTTGCTCAGTAAGGAGGAAAGCTATTAAGAAGATACTCATGTTGCTGGACAGGTATTCCTGGACAGTTTGGGTTCATTCTGTATCAGTCCTGTATCAGCTCTCAGTGATGAGTTTTGGACAGACCTCAGGGGGGAATATATAAGATATTACTTCAGAACATCCTCAGAAAATTACAAAAATTGCTAACCCAAAAGTTAGAGGACAAAGTCTGGATTTTTAATAAGTCCTAATGGAGTTTAGCAGCTGAAGATAAGGGATGATGAGCCAGCTTTTCTTAGCTGAGAAGACACTAATATTCAGAGCATTCAGAGGTCATAGAATGTGGTATAAGGCTGTACAGAACAATTTATCTTAAGGAATCAAAGCATATCTACACATCTTTGGCATTTCTAAAACTTTTTGGTTTTGTAGGTCAGAGCAGGCTGGGTGTAACTAAAAAATCCTGTGCTTGATTTCAGGTAAAAAAGTTCTCATCCTCACAAAGGAGTCACAGTTACAAAAGAAATCCAGAGAATAGCAGGCTAGGAATTGTACCATTTTTGATACAAAAACAACCCTTTTTGATATTTTTCCTAGATGTTGGCTGAGAGGACCTGTGTGAGGAGTGTTAGAAAAGCATAACAAAAGCTTTGTTCTTACATGGGATGATAGTTCAAACTTCACCCAATAAGAGAGAATAATAATATATATAGTCTCAATGCTTTTTTTTTTTTTCCTGCAGCTTTTCATTTTGCACAGGTTTGTCTTTTGGAATGACTAAACATTTTGCAGTGAGAAGTGCCTTCAGACAAGAACCAGTACGAGTATTTATTTGGAGGAGAAAAAGACTAATTTTGTGGAATAGCATAAAAAATCAAAGAACAAATGCAGCCAGTCTAGAAACAGACATTGATGTCAAGCTAACTGTATTAATCTTTCTAAGATGACTAACAGGTCTCAATCTTCTAAAAGAGCTTGAAAGAAGTGATCTCAGACTTCAGTTATGCTCACAAAATATATGGTCCTAGTTGGATCTGAGACTTCATAGTTATTCTGATTTGAATTCTTTTCTATATACCAACAACAGTGTGTTTGGACACCATGTTTCAAGCACAGCCTCAGTGTTCTGATATAGGTAAAAGGTTCACTTGTATAACAATGGAAAATTTTAAACGATTTCAGAACATGAAGCAGTCTGTCATAATCTAATGTTTTGCTGTGTGCTGGGAATATTTTGGGAACTTCATCATAACTGTGCACCTAGACTTTAGTGGTAGGTTAATTATTTTGAAGTTTCTGGTTGTAATGGAGTGCTCTGTTGTGCTATGAATGCTCATATAAATTCTGATGTTATTCCAGAGGCTATTTTAAATTATACCAGATGCATAAAGTAATTTAAAGGGGAGAGGGGGACATGGGCAGGAAAACTTGCCTCTAGATATTCAGTCAGCCTTGTCGTGGAGTTCAGAGGCCCCATAGCTTCGGAAAGCTATCAACCAATGCTTGCCACTTCTACCCAAATTTCTGAAATTGGAAAATCTCTTTATTCAAGAAGTATCACTAAATCTTTTACACTGGTAGACCAAAGTAGGAAAGCTAACTGTGTTGCCTTAGGCTGGGGTGAATTAGGTTTTATTCTCTTTGTTTTGTTAGTTGACTTGAATGAGTTAATATTCCTTTGTTGGATTGATAAATTGCATGTATCTGTCAAAAAAATTACCTTTGCCAAGAGCCTGTTTGGTATACTCTAGCTATCAAAGCTTCCATACTGCTGTTTTTCCAAGCAGCGAACTTATTAATAATAAGTAATTTATTTTTCGGTTTGTTTGTTTTTATTTCACACTAATAACTGAGAACCTTCTCTCCCTGTGAAAGAATGTCTTTTCAGAAGCTCAGCTCATTCTGGCAGCACTGTGGGTGATTAAGAGCTTTCAGAGAGAATTAATCATCTTCATAGGCTTCCTCCTGCCCTCACTTTGAGACGGGTTAGAGAATTAGTTGAAGAAGGTGCTTCAGCATGATTATCCAATAGCTTTAAAATACAAACAGCAAGTGAAGCTTTCTGACTGTTAGTAGTGACTTCTACTACTTATTTATGGTAAGCTTACAGCTGTCCATGACAAATAAATATATAGAGCTAGTTTACTGGTCTGTTGAGTGGTTTTCTGATTTCTTGATACGTAGGAAAATATCTTGTGACTAATGCATGGGACAAGGATCAGAATGAGCTACTTCTACTGTTTATTTTATTGCACATTTCCTTGTTAGTTTTCCAGAATTGTGATTTTTGGAAAATTGGGTGCCAAAACCTTGTTACAAGGTTTAACTTGCATATAAAACAAGTTGCAATGCCAAAGGAGGCAATCTACAACTGCAAGCTTTGTCCCTCTTCCTTCCAAGACTGTTGATGTTGGAGGAGCCAGTCTGTCTGGTCTCCTGCAGCCACATGGGCCTGTCCAGAGGGATTTCTAGGCAGTGCTGTGGAAAGGAAAAAACAGAGAGAGGGAAGTACATTGCAGGTTATGACATGGAGACATTAACTCCACTGGAAGACTATTACATAGTAGTGGTGTCAGTTTATTGATAAAACAAGGCCTTTTTTTTTCTCCTGTCTATATCCTACTATTATAGGCATTGCAGACAATATCTTTCACTGTTGTTGGTAGACTCCCTACTGGATAAAGATTGTGGTGATGGGTCTTTTGTCTTGCATCCTCTTCCCTTGCCAGGGAAGTATATTGTAATACAATGTAATTAAAAGACATATGATATTTAAGATTTCAAGCAGTATCTTAAGAAAAATTCTGTAATTGTTTCTTCTTTGTAAATGTGTTATCTCCAGAAGTTAGACAGATGTGAAAACTTTGCAGGTCCTGAAATGTTACTTACACACCTCTGGAAGTTCAGAGAAGTTCTAGCTCTTGTAATTTTATTTCAAAACTGTTTGTTTTTTTTTTTTAAATTGGAATTGTATTTGCCTCGTATCTAAAACCTACAGGACATGCTGTGCCCTTACTGATGTTTGTTGCAGCATGCAGCATCTAACTTAGAGGACTTCACATGACCAGCAGCATAAGGTAGTTTATTAAGAAAGACTGAAAGTGCTTACTGTACTTTCATTTTATTAGAATCAGCAGGTAGGTAGAAAGTGGATCCAAACTGATCTTATCTTATTGTTTGATAGTTTTCTAACAGCTATAAAGTTGATGACAATACACATTTTTTTTCAGGAGCCTTTTTTCTCTTTCAGTAATGTTTTGATCTTCGTGATAGTTTTTGTCTTGTTACTGGTGTTGAAAACTTTCTTTTAATTCTGTGTTTTTAAAGAGTCTATGGGTGAGTTTCATTTTTAGAATCTTTAATCCATATTATTTGTAACCAAAGGCTTTATTTTCCAGCTTCCTAAGAGCTACTTGTGTACTAAGATACTGGATTTGTTTGTTTTTAATTTAAAATGTTGTATGTGGCCTTGGGTAACTAAAAACATGTCTTGAGATATGATGTTTTTAACTGTATCATGCTAGAATTGCCTTTGCTGATCATGAAGAATTGAATAGTACTCATTTGTCATGTAGGGTGTTGGCTCAAACACAGATGAGGTCAATTCAGATGATAGAGGTTGTTACAAAACTCAGCTGTTGACTCTGCTCCTCTTTGCACAAGCTGCTTTCTCTGTGGCAGGGATGGCTGACCCGTGAAGCAATTCTTTAACAGCCCCAGTTTGTAGCTTGATTTATTCAAGTAAACCAATGGTGACTGTAAGTTGTTTTAATGCACTGGGTTGGCAACTCTTAACAGTTCAGGAGCAGCTTCCTTTGTAAATCATCAGTGCTAGTATAGTAGTGGCAGTCTTTGGAGAAGAGTGAATCCCTGGTAGGATGTTTAAGCTGCCTGTATTGGTGGGTGAATATTCTCTGTTTCTGATTCACAACTAAGCTGAGAAAAAAAAAAAATCCTTTGCAGTGGTCTGCCAGCAGTTGCAGAGTAGCTGCAGACAACTGGTGGCAAGATACCTTTTCTATAGCTCCAAATGATTCGTCTCAAACTAAGGCAATTTTCTCCAAGAGCTTTAGTTGTTAATCACATCTGGAGAAAGACAAGAAACATTAAAACATACTCTTTTGGGGTTTCCGTTTCACTGGGGTTGGAAAAGACCAATTCCTAATCATTTACCATTTTTGAAAAAGGTTCATGGTGAAAACAGGAATAGAAGCCAAGAACTTTATTAGCCAGCTCTAATTCTGCTTGTGTTTTAAACAGGGAGCTATTCTAGTGTGGCTACCCAGTAGGCTGCTTGGGTGGGAAGAAAGAAAATGGTCTTGGTTTTGGGTGGTGGCGTTGTTGGGAAGACTGCAATTTTCCTTGATTTCCCTTTTTTCCCTCTTAGGATAATACCTTGCTGACCTCACAAGTTAACTCTGGGGATTATGGGCTTGGTTTAATTCTCACTCCAATCAGAAAGCTAACGTGCTAACATTGACAGCAGTAGGTGAAAGAGGCAGACTTATTTTGATAGGTTAGTATCTAGAATAATCTCAAACTGAGGCTTTTTGTTTATTTGTGTTTAGATAACTAGTGTAAACTTTAGATTTTTTCCTTTGAAACAGAATTGTTTTCCCAAGAAGTGGCCCAGATAGCAGAACTCCTATTTTTGTTTTTGATTATGCCTTTATAACCTTTCTTTGGAGTTATTCTAGAGAGGTAAAAATAGAACACAGATATCTTATATCTAATAAACTCTTGGACCAGATGCTTCTCTTGCCTTTTTTTCTCCTGTAGGAAGATTGAATTTCTTGCTTTACAGCACCAGTAGAGTCATTACACTGCATTTAAAACAAAATGCAGAAAGAGATGACCTTTTGCTAGGACTCTGTATTGTTTGTATTGCTAAGCTTTATCACCATCTTCAGCAAAAGCCAGCTTAAGCCTTAAACATTTGTGCATATAGTATCTGCTCGCTCAGAATTGTCTATTGTTAGCTATCTGTGTTCTCATTGATTACAGTGCTGTGCATCTCCACAATGCCTGCTGTTTGCCCCTTGGATCATCATCATACAGGGTAGCTGTTATCTTCCTTGCTGATAGCATATCACCAATGGTACCAGTTAAGAGCTGAAAACACTTCCAGCATAATGGAAAGTTCTACTTTTGCCAGGATGACTAATTAATTAACCCCTGGGATGGAGAGGCTTCTTGTGCCAACTTAAGAAAAAATTATGGGAAGATACTATTATATAGCAAAAGATAGATTTATTGGAAGAATTTTATTTGCCTTGTTAAGAATATTACTATCAATCTGCCTGAAACAATCTTGGAAACTAACTGGAAAACAGATACTTTGGAAAGGGTTGCTTCTCTGACAAAGTCTTCCTTTGCTGTAGGAGCAAAACTGCTCTTAACACCATGAGAAGAATGGACTTGTAATAGGAGTGTGTGGAGGCAAGCAGTACAGGAGGCAGTAAATCTCTTTTCTTCTCAGCAGGCCACAAACTTTTAGCTTTAAATAGGTCACTGTTCCAATGTAGCTATCAAGTGGCCGCTTGGGAGGGAAGAAAGAAAATGAGTTTGGTTTTGGGTGGTGGCAGGGGTTGGGTGGGCTGTTGGCACCATAAAGGGCGGGGAGACTGCCCTGCAGAATGCTCTTCAGGTGCCTGTCAGACACTGCTGAAGGCAGGTGAGTGTCTCGAGTATAGTTGCACTGTCCCAGCCTAGTATGGATGGAGTGTCTAACTCATGACTTGAGCACATCTGTCCCATGGACTTCAAGAAATCTTGTGATGACTTGATATTGCTGGGGGTGCAATTTACTTTATAACATGAAATATATGCCAGATCTGTAAGATTAAACTTGGTGTGTCTGTAGCAGACTGGAACTAAGCAGAGTGATTCTATATGTGAAGATAGATGTGATGGTTAGTGATCTGGTTAACATTTGGGCATTTCAGACTTGACACCTGATACTGAAATACCAAAATGCAGATATTTTTAATTTGTGGTGGTGCTGCTTCATTGATTTCCCCTTGATTTACACATGTGCAGGGGTGACTTCTGCTTTCTACTCCAATGAGTGGCTGTTCATGTAAAATACAAAAAGTTAGGCTTGTTACCTGATTCTCTCTTTTGGGCTTGTTAGCTCAGTCTGCCAGCTGTGTAGGAGATGAAACGGGTGCTGAGCATAACAGACTGTAACCACACAGAGTACATTGGGGGGCAAGGTACAGAAAGGAGTATTACTTTCCATAAAAGATGAACTTGGATACAGTGGCAGTGTTGTTTTCTGTTTCGTGTCAGGGGAGACGTGCCACTAAAAGGGAATAGTTGAGGGACTGTAGCACCACTAAGGACAAAATTGTATCTTCAAAGTTTCTGTTTGCAGGTGGGAGGCAGGATGACACTGACCAGTAGTCCTTCTCTTTATTTCAACTCATTATGTGTTAACCTTAATTGACTCGTGCATATGTTTAGGAATTAATGTGTGAACTCTTCTCACTTGCCATGACCTTCTGCTGGGTTAATTTTTTTTTATATAAGCTATAAAAGCACAGTAGCATAGGGACAATGCAGGCAATTTTGTGCTAGAGATTGCAAGCAGAAAGAGAGGGATGGGGAGGACTAATTTTGTTACAAAAATGAACACACTAAGTAAAATATAAGTTCAAACCATGTGTTTGCCTGGGAAAGTTATGGTTTAAATTTGACATAGACTACAGCAAGCAACCGGAGAACTGCCATATGGAGGAATAGCAACTTTGCATTATTAAGATCGTACAGCTAACAGCTTAGTTTATAAATTTCTACTGAGCAGTGTCTGCAATTCAGCAGCAGAAAAAGTGTGCTTCATGGGTAGGCTTGAGTGAGAAAGGGATGGTCAGATGTTTTTGAGTAGACATTGCACATGCAAAGGGGATAGGTTGGGAAAAGCTGCCTGTAGCAGGGAGAGAGACATAAATCCAGGTATAAACAACACTAGTTTGTTACTCAAAGGTGAAGTGACTTGTGGAACTGACTAAATCAAATACCTTCAACATCTCACAAAAAAAAAAGGACCAATCTAAGGAAGGTCAAAGTATCACTAACCTTTTGTTTTTAAAGAATTAGAAAATAAAATTGGAAATTAATAGAATTGTCATCTTCAGTTCTTTTTACAGTGTAGACTAGATATCAGCAATTCTCTAGCATGTTGTGCTACACTCTTTTTCTTCTCCAAGTTAAACTTGAAGTGTGAAAACAGAAATCCTCCAGAATCCTGTTGTTTCTCAAAGAAGCAAGATGCTATCATTGTATTTATGGCCTCTATCAGTAGCTAGTTGTGTCTCCTGCAGACTAGAGATCACTAGCAACCTGTAGCAGGGAGCTACTCCCTCCCAGGAGGCTGTAGCTGCCAAATCTCAGCCCTATTACTCACTATTCAAAATCAGTCCACTTATCACCCTTCCCCTACAGCTCTAAGTGGCTGACGCCCATTGGAGGTGACCTGGAAAGCTTTACGGGAATAATTTAGCTGTATATACAGGAGAAGCTACTAAAAAGTATATTCAGCTTCCAAATGTCTACAAGAATCCTTCCTGAATTGAGTACTATTTTTTCTACATCAACTCTGATAAGCAGAGAATTGGCTCTGGTAATGATAGAAGATAACAAGCATTGAACAGGGAAATCTGAAGATGTAAAAGGGAAAAGTAACAAAGTTCTTGGAGACTGTATGTCTGAAATAAAGGGCTGGCTGCTTTTGTTTTATACAAAATAAGCTTCCACCACCACCCCAATAAAGCACAGAATGAACAATGAAGAGAATATCTTATGGAAAGGAAAGAGAATGATGGGGAGGGTGTGGGGGAAATAATCAAGGATAAAGAAAGTAACCAATTAATATCCCACAATTCTGGTATTTTAATCCAGTGTTGTGTTTAGTTCACTATTTATGGGTCCCTAGAGGGAGAAATTCCTGAAATTCTCTATCATTTAATGGAGCCAGGCAAAATGCTGTTGTGTCTCTACTTTTAGTATTCATGCTTTGAGTATTTCATATGGTGGCACAAAGATAACATTGTATTAGATAAGTTTCTGTGTCTTCATCAACATCATTGTGTATACAATTACAAGCTGTTGTTTCATTGACTTGGAACATATATGAACAGTTCTTTACCTGTGTAGAAAATAGTTACAAGTTCTCCTACATGCACAGGTTTTGAATGCAGTCTGTGTCCAAGAAGTATGAAGAGGAGACACCTTCTCTGCACTGGGGGATGGATCCTATATTTTCTGCATTTGCAAGACTCTATATAAAAGATATAAAAGAAATGAAAGAATCCAAACAAGTGCCAGGTATGTACTTATATGTGCAGTTTATAATGCACACAGAATTAGAATTGCTTTATATTGTATTCTTTATCAAGGGATTACAGAACGCTTCAGGAGCACCAGTAATTTTCCATGCCCCTAAGCTAAGTGACGTTAGTATCTTTAGCAGTTTGAAGAACAACAGGTTGTATGTGAAATGTGTGAAAAATAAAATGTGTTCATTGTAATGGGTTTTCTTCCTCTCATATATATATATATAGAGAGAGAGAGATAGATAGATACAGAACCTCTTTTGCACTAAGGTGATGCTGGGTTTCCTCTGCATGGTAGTGCTTGTTATATTCTGATAAACTTAATTTTAAAAATGCTGGTCTTTTCTGGCCATATGTGTTACATATTTCCACTGTCTCTGTAACATTTGAGAAGGATGTTATCCTTTTCTGTCACAAAATTGACAGTTGATGACATTGCTGGTATGTGTTTTTGCTTTTTCCTCTGGTTATTAATATATTATAAAAGATACAGCTTTTGAGTTTTTGTCTGCCTAATTTCTATATATGATAGATATATGACTTTCTCCATACATTTGAATAACCTTATTGTAAATTCTGGCATCTGTGCTGAATCCTACACCACACCTTTTATTTCATAACCATTGTTAGGAATTGTATGCTTTGCAGTCTTTTCCTGCTGGTCTTCAGCCAATATCACCCACATGTGTACATTGTCTAAAGCAACACGGGTCTGACCTTGAATTTCTATTTTCACTAGAAAGACTTGAAATAGACTGCAGTATGTTTTCTGCTGTGAGTGGTTCATTACTCCGAACTGAAACTTGACAAGGTGCAATATTATCAGAAAGAACCCAAGGAATTTAGAATTAATGAGGAAAAGCAGAAAGCTAAGCAGAGTGTGTGGTTTTTTTGGTGTTTTGTTTGTTTGGTTTTTTTTTTTGGTTTGGTGCTTTATTTGGGTTTTTGGTTTTTTTTTCCTCCACAAAGACAAGGTACATCTGTTTGGCTCTTTGAATATGCTCTGCCTTGTAGGTTTTGTTACTCTTATTTTTAACAGCAGGGATAACAGCAGTGCTATTATTACAGAAATGAAGGACTGGGAGGTATTTTGCTCTTTTTGTAATCATTTTTATGTACGTAGGCACTTCACAAACTGCAGAGTCCAGTATATATACCACTTTAAGAGATATATTTAACATGATGAGAGAGTTTTGTCTTAAATCCATTGCAATAACTAAGCTACAGCCTGTTGTTGATATTTGTACTAGAGTGAGTAGTCCTTAGAGGCCTTTTCAAGGTGTGCTGTCTTATAGTAGCACTGGTGTAGCAAATGCATCTGGTAAAAACTGTTCCTGCTTCAGTTGGAGTCCTTTTAATTGTTTTCAAACAAAATACAAAACAATTCAGTGTCAGCAGAATAGGATTGTAGGTGTAGACTTGGATATAAGTGCATACACATGCAAGAATATATTCAGAAGAATTAAACTTACAAATGTCAACATTTCAGAAGAGCCGGAACAGTCTTAGAAAGTACAATCCAGCTCTCTTTTTTTCACCTCTAAATTACCTGAATTTCCTTTCTCACTTCCCTTGCTGTTCTTTTACTTAAGTGAGTTCTCTTCTGCTTAAGGAACTCTTTCAGTTTTGTTAAATTTTTTTATTGAAGATAATGTTAAAGAAGTGGTATCTGTTATGTCAAGGTATCAGCCTTTAAAATTGGTGCATGCGAGCTTTCTCCACTTCCTGTGCATCTGGCTTTTACACAACTAAGCTTGCTTGCAATCCTGTATCATTTTCTAAACCAACTTTAAAGAATAAAATGAAATTTCATAGAACAAATATCCTGAATTTTGTTCGTTTCCTGGTGCTGTGTATATACCAAACCAGACATCTTTCAGCATATCTTATTTATTGGCAACAAATGATAGCACAACAGAAACACTAAAAAAAAAATCTTTTGGGGAAGGAAAAAGGTAGGTGCTTGCTGTCAATGTTTCCTGCCTTTAATGGGTTTGTTAAAGACCAGCTGAAGCCAAGTATATGATTGGCTATAAATCAGTCATTAAGTAATGGTAATTAAGAATGAGTGCAAAACAAAGAGTTGTAACTAGGGGGAATTGAAAGAAACAGACTCAATGTCAGGAAAAACATCTTTAGAATGACATCTGCTAAACTGTGAAGCAGCCTTCCCAGGAAGAAGGTGGGATGCCCTTCACTGGGTTTGTTTATATCCTGACTGTACATATTGCCAGGAATTTACTGTACAAAATGGTCTTACGTTGGCCCTGAGGAATTGGACTGAATGACCTAATAAGTTTTTGCTTTCCATTTTTAAGCATTAGGATTTGATGCCACAATGACTAATCCCTTAAAACAACACAGAGGAAAACAGTAAGCCTAGCCAATTACTCTCCTGCTATAAATGGTGACAAGAAGGCTGGAAAACCTCCCAGATAAAAACAGCAATTGTGTTGTCTTAAAGGCTCTGAAATGAGAGTGGGTGTCAAATGCAGTTGTAACACATAATCACATCATGGAAATGAGTTTGTCTCAGAGTTATCATGCACCACTTCATTGTGACAGCTTATCAACAAGTCAGGGAAGCTACAAATAACATAAAAGAAGGTAATATTAATTAAAGCAAAGGCAAACAGCTCAGTGCTCAGTAATGCTGGTAAACACATGACCAGGACTTGCCCTGGAGAGGTCTGTATCTACAGCCCCCTGTACTGCTGCTGTGGCTTCCTGTTGTGGTAAGAGCATATTAATACATGTGTTATTTACTTGGTTACTTGGAGCATGACTGAATGTACTTGCACATAGCTTCAAATGTTTAGTATATTTTTTTTATTGCTACTGCTATGAACATAATTTGAACAAATAAGCTGACAGGAGAAACAGTTTACACCTTGAAGTTGTCAAGTTCAACAACTTTAAATAGTGTAAATGTAATTTCACCTTTCAGATGAATTCAGGTAGTTTCTCAGAGGGTGGAGTCCTATGTGAGTTTATGGGGATGGAGAGAACCAGTTTTATCTGGTCTTTGTCATCTGCCAAAACGCGGTTTACTAACTGGGAAATGATGACATGTTGCTTGTTTTCACAATCAAAAACTTGGAGTCTATATAGCTCCACAGACTTACCCTGGAACTGACCTAGACCACCTTTCATAGAGATTTTATAAGGTTTAGTGAATAATTGTATACACTGGGAGCATCTCACTTGAAGTTTTCTGTAGCAGTGTTTATTGGTGTCCTGGTAAATGGAATGAGAGAAAAGTGGACAGGCCTGCTGAACATTCTCTACACCAGACCTGACCAGTGACTGCATGCTTAGTATAGCCAGCTCTAAGATGACAGCGATAGATGCATCCTCAAAACATTGCAGTGGATTTTTATGAGTAAAATGTCTGTTTATGAGCTGCTTGACTGATCACCTGTGACTTCTTATGAAACTTTGAGGTTTTTGTCTTTGTGTGAAGAAAGTTAATTCCAGGCTTATTTAAGGCTGCCAGCTATGTAGGACAAGTTATTTTTGGATTTTGGTTTTGATTTTTTTTTTTTTTTTTAATACAGAACATCTGACTCCCTTGCCGCAATGTTTCTCTTTCCCTTTGTAAGAATATGACTTGCCACAGTGTATGGAGCCAAATGTTCCCTTCTGTGTCCCTTGAGTTACCTCGTTTTTAGAAGACAGTTACTGAACATCCTAGATGACATATTTCAGTAAAGCAGGGATATTCAAAAACTGAGGAAAACACATCAACTGAAAATCATCTAGCCCGGGATATCTGGAGGTTATTGCCGTGTTATCCTCCTGCTAGTGGACTCTGAAGCCTCTGTATAATGTTTACGTCAGTGTTTGTTAACAACATTTTTCACTCTCTTGAAAGGGATTACAGCCTGTGGTAACCTCGATGCTGTCAAAGTCCACTGGGCTCTGATGCCTCACTGTTTTCTGGACATGTTTTTGCATGTTATTCAAGTCATCTTTATAGATGTACAAAAATAGCTTTGAAGGGATGTTTTTAGAATGTGTTATTTCAGAAGCTGAAGTTCAGGATGCTGTTCATGATGACTGCATAGTGTACTCTGCAATCTAAGAGTGTTTTTTCTCTTCCCCTGCCCCCCATGGCTCCTGTTCTTTTAGAAATGAAAGGCAGAATTATGTTAGTTTTCCTTTTGGAGGCTCTGCCTTAATCAGGAACAGCTGCATTGTGAGAAGCCCAAACTGCTTCCATTGTGTTCTATTATTTATTCTGAAGCCTGATGAAGATGTGGAAAAAAAAAACCCTAAAAAACAAAATCCAAAAACCAAAATGAAGCAATGAAACAAACAAACAAAAAACCCTAAAAATACTCTGCCTGCAGAGAAAACGAACTGTTTTTCAGATTCAAATGTGCAAGAAAACAAGAGATTGATAAAGTTTTGACACTCAACAAAAGCAAGCTAAATAAGAGCTGATACTTCTTCCTTCCAGTATCCCCAGTCCTCACTGATCCAGGGAATTTTTCACATGACTTGATATTGTATAATTTAAGACATATTAAATAAGAAAGTATGTTGTTTGACTGACAAATGTCACTATGTAGGGTAGGATGTTGTAAGAAATAGATACACTTATGAATGTTCTGTGTCTAGGTATATTCTTTTATAATGGACGTCCAGTAAAACAGGTGGATGTTGTCGGGATAGTGGTTCAAATGAAAGAACGAGATGCCTTTTATAATTACGGAGGTAAGAAGAGGTTTTTTTTCTTAGCAGCTTTCTAATCTTAGTTACCATTAGAACTTAAAGTTTTCTTATTTGATCATTGTTCTTGGAACAACTGTGCTCTTATCCTAATATAATGTGTATCTGCAGCTCAGATTACTTAGCAAACTTAGGGAAGCTACTGTTTATCTCCACTTCAAAAGTAGGGAAACAGGTAGTTAAAACAGATTAACTGATTCATTTGGGGTCATCTAGAAAAAATTTTGGTTATTTCTGTAACACAGGACTCCACCATCTTCCTCTTGTGTGTGTGTGTGTGTGTTTATATATATATATATATATATATATATATGCAGTTCCTTTGATCAGATATAAACAGATTTAACAGTGCCTGCAAGTGAGAAGCTACTTTCTCTTTTTTGAACCTTAGCAATCCCTTCTGACTTTTTGTATGTGTTGTTGTATCTTGGAGCCAGCTTTAATAGCAGTTAGAAGCTTGTTTATATCTAGATGTGTAAGAGTGTTAGCAAATCTAACTCAAACATCATAGTACCAGTCCTTGCCAGCACCAGCTGGGAGTTTTCTCCTCCCTATGGCTTTTCTCAGTATTCAGCCTATTTTATTAACATGGCAACATCTGATTGTTATTTTGTTCAGCTGGTTTTTTCATCTGGAGAAAAAGCAGAGCGGAGTACTGGTGATGTGGCAACTTTCAAAAGGGGGGAGGTCATCTCACAGTCGGAAGGGGAAGCCAAATGCATAGGTCCTATCGAAGCACCTGAAGGACTTAAGTCCAGTGTTTTCCTGTGCCATGGTTTCCACCTGATGGAGGTGAATCATGGAGGGCCTTTTCTTACCCAGTCCCTTGTCTTACAAAACTGAGTCAGCAGCAATTCCCTGACTCGCAGGAGTATTGTGAGGATAGAGCTGACAGCCTAACCGGGTCCCACCTTCCATGACACCTGCAGTTACATCATACTGCTGCAGAGTAGCACTAGCTGCCACTGCATATAGCATACCCCACACTGCGTGTGGCTGCTTTGAGTTGACTCTATGCTCTATAGAAATCTCCCTGCAAGCTTCTTAGAGTGGATATTTTCTAAGGGTTTTTTTAGAAAGTTTAATTTCTGAATATTTTTTATTACCCTGACATGCAAAATAACTAGTGGACATTAAATATTTTGAAGCAGGGGTTTCTCTGGCACTTGAAGCAGCACAGACTAGACAAGCACCTAAGAGACAGAGATATAATTGATGAGGTAATGAAGTGTTGAAACATAAATTGAACGTCAGCTATTATTCTTTTATTGCACTAATATGCAAATGCTGTTATCACTTCATGAGAACAGAGGAAGACAGTCAAAATTACCACAGCAAAAATAATTACATGGGCAAGGGTTTCCCACACTTCTCTCAGCATTAGTTCAGATATAAACTTGTTGGAAATATTTGATGGGGGCAGAAAATGGAGGAATAGAAATAAAAAGAAACTGCAGAGTAGTGAAATTAAGGCCTTAGTGTTAGATCAGCCGACCTTTAAGTACAGCTCTTAGTGAGCCTGGCTTCCTGCAGTCCTTTAACATCCAACTCCAGAGTCTTTGTTCTAACAGTTCCTGGTTTTTGCTTTCAGGCTACCTGCCAGGGTGCCCCTCCCCAGCCTGCCCTCCCTTTCAGGCAGGCTGACTCTGCCAGCACAAAATTGTAACTTCTTAGACAGTTTCCTGCTTGTAACTTCTTGCATCTCTCAGTTCAACAGACTATGGTTGGTGAGTCATAGAGCAGGCGTTGCATCAGTTGGCATGCTGCACACTGCTCAGTACTTGCTCACTTTCCATCTGCTTAACAGTGACTTACAAAGCAATTCCCCCTTTGTACTTTTTCTCTGATAGAGAACTGAAATGTCTTTGTGTCACCGCCGCTATCTCCCTCCTCGTTTCCTATCTGTCTACTTCAGAATATACGGTGCTCATTTTAAGAGAATCTTAGGTCTCCTCTGTGCTGAAAACCATGCAGCCAGAACTGATGTCAAAATAATAATTGTGAAAGAGTGAATTGATTGTTTCCTGGCTTAAAAAAATAATTAAAATCACATGCTGTGTAAAACCTGATTTTGATGCTTTGATCATTTACTGCTATTGTTATGATCAGTTATGAGAATATCTAGTTAAAGTATAGCTTTGAGCAAGCTCATATTTTAGCTAATGTACCTTTCTGACCTCTTCCCATTCCTTTTTAATGAAACCAAACATCACATGTGGTTTTCCTTAAACTCCTTAAACTGAAAGGCTGAAAGGCACTTGCCTTAAAAACCCCCCCAAACAAACAAAAAAAAACCCAACAGCAATGACAAACCCGCACAAAAACCCATCACACAAAAAAAATCTTTCTGGGTTATCAGTAGGCTTACACAGGCCCTGCAAGAACCATACCCTTTTTCTTATAAAGGATAAGACTGAACCCAATTGTTTCATTTACCAGGTAGTTTTGAGAGTGCTACTCCTCAAATAGTTAATGTAAGTCAAAAAACCCCAAACAAACAAACCAGAAATCCTCAAAAAACAAACCCACAAAAAACTAAACAAACAAAAATTTAAACCCAAGGAGAGGAGGAAGGGTGGCACAGGGAGGACAGGAAGCTTTCAAAAGCTTGTAGGCCTCTTGAGTGCATTTAAAATAGATTAACATTCTCCCATCTAATTAGAATACAATTGTAAGAGTTCTCATTGATCTGTGCTTCAGGAGCTATTTGTCTTTTTGCTTAAATCTTTTATTTGTGAACTGGGAAAATGTTGCTTCCCAGCCTTGTTCTGCTACCAGATTCCCTGTGTGGTCAAGAACAGTTCATTTTATCTAGAACCCCATTTTCAGTTGTTACACTGAGGAGTCTGACCTCCTAATCCTTTGGTCTTGTTTATGTTGTTTCTAAACCCTTCTTGGGAAGCATATCTGTCACAGTTGGTGCAACAGCCAGTCACAAGCTGGAACATCTAGAAGCTGCAATAATGTAACAGTGAACTGTCGTCAGCCCTGTTTCTTACTGCCCCTGCTGGCTTGCATGCATGGCTTGGCATGGTATATGGGGGCTCTGACTCCTACTAAAATAGTTGGGATTTGTCTATACCAAGGAGAGGAAATCCTGCCAGTTAGACCATTATGCCCTGGTACAAAATTAAAGCTTCTGAAATAATTGCGGACACAGCAGCTGAAAAGGAGGATAGCAATGAGATGAGCATACTTTTGTGACAGAATTTGGAATTGCCTGGATCTTATAAATGCTGTATGTTTGCTATTAGGAATGTGCAGCTAAGCTATTGGGAAACAGGAAGGCAAGACAATGATTTGAAATTGGATCCCCCTAAATAGGGAGACTGTTTCAAAACACATGAGACAATGCAAAGGCATTTTGCTTTGATGTTATGATTCTTGGAGGAAGTGACTGCAGGTACCAATCAACACCTTCCTGGTAAACATTGCTGTTACTTTTCTAGCCGTGAATCTGGTTTAAGGAGCAGAAGAAAACTGCAGATTGTAATCTGTGAAGACTGGAAGCTCAGTTTTGGAGATAGTTACATTCAAGGAGCAAGGTGCTTGAAGTTTTAGCTAGACGTGGTGTGATACTTACTGTGGTTTGCCATACGTTTAGTGCCTTTTTATTTAGAGAGTGTTTATTGGACATGCCATCTAGATACAGTCTCTTGATCTGTAAAACAATAGATTTGACTGCTATTTTTAAAGTTTTCTTTAGATTTTGACTTTTTCTGCGGTCCTCGACAACACGGTGCCTGGGGCAAAAAAACTCAAAACTTATTTGGGTTGGGTACTAGCAACACAGGAAGAGCTAGAGAGGTCCCCTGTTCAAGAGAAGGCATTTAAACTTTTTCAGCAATGGAAGTGGCTTGCATGCCACCAGTACATATACTTCAAGCTGGGAATTCCTGGCCTAGAGCAGAACCACAAGCATGTGCTGTCCTTTGCCCTTCCTGGCTAGAAGAGCTGCCTTTCTGCTCTCTGGAACATCTTGCATGGGAAAGGTTGGCAGACTTTGTGCACGATATTGGTGTGGAAACCAAGTGCAGCTGGAGGTAGTAGCACTCCTGGTCTATTCACATGTACTTCTCAATGTTGAAGTGCTGTTTTTTCACTGTTACAGTAATTGTTCAGTGTTCTGTTCCTGGTTTTCTGTTTTAATTTTTCTGGCTTCAGGTTTCAACACTGATTCTTCTTCTGACCTTGTCAATGAAACTAAAACCCTTTAGTATCCAATATATGTACTGAAGTCTCACGATTTAAATTAGTGCTTGATTTTTTTTTTTTTTTTGTGAATATACTGGTTACTTCAGTGACCATGCACATAAGCGTAGTGTCTGGTGCTGAGCAACCTTCATAACTGAAACGACTGTGGAGTTTATTTCAGAGGTATAAGTAGGGGTTGAGAACCCACCTTCCCTCTCAAACTGTTTGGAATGAGATATCCTTGGCAGTTATCTCCCTACATATCTACATATCTTCACTTCTTGGAACATCACTACCTGCTTTCTTACTCTATAATTCTTGCTTTTTTTTTTTTTTTTTTTTTACAGTGGATGATAGCACTGGAGTTATAAATTGTGTCTGCTGGAAAAATCCCCTAGTAGCAGAAACATCTTTACCAGGTAATTTATCAAATACAGAATTCCTTTTTTGGCTGTACATTTTCGCTCTTGTCTGTCTTATGTAATTTAGTAAATGATCAAACTTGCACAAGAGCAACTCTTTAAATTTTAATTTTAAACCATCATATCCTACAGCCTGGGCCGTGTTAGGTGTTTCGTATTACTTTGTGTTGTCTCCAATGGTGATGTCAATAAAACCACTACATTATGACCGGTCATGCTTATTCCTTATCTAAGTAATATGGTGTTTCAATTCTATGCTGTGACATTGTTCAGAGGATCCTCTTCTGGCTCTTTTTGTGACTTCATCTAGTGAGGGGTAGGCTGGAAATCTGCCACATGTCACAACTTCTGTTTCCAAAGTCAACCCATTGACCATCAACCTGGTATATGTGATGCAGTGGTTTCAGGATTAATCTTTTCTTTGTTTGCATTAATATCTCCCCCTGCTCATGCATATACTGTCAGTGATGAACTCAAAAGTAGCTTAAAGCACAGTGGGAGGATGCCAGCTATCTTTTACAATTTGGGAAAGTTCTAAATGTGCAGAAATTGTGCATTTGAAATGAATCTATTATTGCACTCAATAACAGAAGAGCTCACTAGTGTCTGGCTTTTTCTCACACCATTTCTCACAGATCAAAGTATGAAATCCTTTATACTTTGGACCTTCTTGAAAGCTAATGTAGTAGATTGACAACCCTGATATGGAGCTGATCAGATCCTACCAAAATAAGTGTTAGTAGTGTCATCTGTCAGGTTTAGGGTTACATACACATAGAATGGGGAAAGGAGAGCTTGATGTAGAAGTTAAAAACTGGTGTCTGTGGAACAAGCCCATTTATAAAGATAAATGGAAGTAAGTATGAATTATCTAACAATTACCTGACAAGTGGTATAAACAATCCCAACTGGAATCTAGAAGACGGCTCTCACTTTGAGAGATGACGTTGTGGCACAGCTTTCCAAAAAAATAATGGGAACACACAACCAAATCAGTGTTCATGAGGAACTTGAATTCATTAAAGCAATTGCATGAAATACTGCTTGAAATAGAATGAGGACTCAGAATGCTTGTTTCAGCCTTATGTTCTTATTTTACATGTACGTCAGTAGTGCTTGAATGGACACTATGTTATTCAAGGAAATTAATTAATCTGTACCTGCTAAAGAAAACAGCTCCTAGGGGGCACAGGAAACTTTCAGCCTTTTGTAATTGTAGTCAGGGATACTTGGATGATTAATCAGGTTTTAAGTTATGAAGGATTTACTCTCCTGCAAAGGTGTGCTACATAATTGTGAAAAACTGTCAAGTTGCATTCACCTCAGTGTAGATATCAGATTGCACCACATGAATACTTTGGCCCCACCTCAGATGACTCATTCTTTTATGTAAAAAGTTCATCTGACCTTTCTTTTCCCCTCTCATCCATCTTAACATAACAAAATTTAAAAATGACAAAATCCATTTCAAATAAATGTTTCAATTTTGCAACCCATCTATGGCATTTTCAGTGGTAAATCAGTATCTCCTCCCTTTTACACTTTCCCCAGGTGACCTATTTAAATGAACATAATACTGTAAACTAACTTTGTCACACAAAAGTTTTGGTACCAAGGATACACAGTGCCTGAGACCTTACCCCTTTTTTTAGTAATATGACTCCTGTGATGCTTAGATGTTTGGATGAATGCAAAAAATGAATGGATGCTTAGATGTTTGGATGAATGCCAAAGTACAGTCCTTTCCCTCACTTCTTACAGGTCATCCAAGCACACCCAACAGTCTTGCTGTGCTTGAGCAGATGAAGAAACTCCAAGAAATGGTGATCCAGAAAATCAAGCTGGAGATTGGGGATGTTGTCAGGATCAGAGGTCACATCCGAACCTACAGGCAACAAAGAGAAATTCAGGCTTCATGTTTTTGTGAGTGTTATGGATTTGTCACATACGTAACTTAGTTATCTGAATCTGTGAGAAGATCTAAGCTGTATGTAACTTACTGAATAGTTTCCACTTTATTTTCTGCCATCTCATTTTTCTAAAGAGACTTTCATCTGTTTGTTTTTATTTCAATTTTAGCAGTGTAAGGTTAGAAGGCACTACTTAGTGTGGGATTAGATAGCCTGTAAATGAGGCATTCCTGGAAAATCTATAAAAGATGACTAGCATGCATACAAGAATACTATGCAGATACTGTGATTGGGTATATATGAGAGTGACTTACTCTTCAATTTTCTTTGTGTTGAAGTAGAACAGCCAAAGCCTGTGGGAAGGGAGTTGGTAACCTTTTATGTCACATTTCACCATGAGCAATAGCTGCTTTGGAGAAACGGTTGCTGTTTGTCACAGCCTGTATAATCCCTTCTATGGGTAGACATCAGTGTATGGGCACATGGTACCACTGAAGCCCGGGTTCTCCCTAAACTATCCGGTTCTGCAGAATGACTGAGAAGTGTTCCTCACCTCCAGTCCCTCAGGCACCAATCTGCATGAGATGCTGCTCCTGTGTCTGACAGCTTTTTGGGCAGCTGGGTGCTGCAGTCTGCTGTTTGCATCCGAGGAGCTTCCAGTTACATAACTGTTTCTCTCTGTGGCTGTGCTATTGTGTAAGCATTGGTTTTTCCTAGCAAAATCTTTCAGAGACAATACTGAAATGATTCCTTTGGTGGGGGAAGCCCATCTTCTAAGAACCCTGTGTAGCTCAGATAAAAAGTCAGATTTTCCAGCTCTAGCTAAAATCTGAGAGGGAGTTCAAGTCTCCTTTATGGATGGATTTATGAATATATAACCCATTCAATATACTTCTGGTAATAACCCCATTGTTTCATTAAAGAAGAGCCATGCAATTCAAATAGTCTGTAAATTGCTTTCCCTTTGCCCCAAATAAAGCTCCTTACTATGTGTTACCTTCATCTAATTGATAAAAGCTGCTGAAATAAATAATGAAATAGAGATCATAACTTCTAGTTAAATAAATTGTCAGACAAAAGCATAATCTGTAATGTACCAAACAGGTCATTTATGTCCTTGTAAACTGTAAAAACAGGAGTGGCCTTTGTGGTTTTGTTATTATAAAATCAACACTGAATAAAACTTGCCAATTTAATACTGGCATGGGAAGCTCTGTTGTGCTGCCGGAGGTATGCTTGCTTGAAAGATGGGTATGGCAGTCCCAGCCAAGTATGTGTGTTCTTTTTGTTGCTCCAGATAAAGTGGATGATCCTGTGTGTGATGTTCAGATTTCAAGAATGCTGGAGCTCCCATGTCTATATAGAGAAGTTTATGATAAACCTTTCCAAGGCCCTGAGGAGGGACAGAGGTAAATGCAGTACCCAGACTGGTCTCAAGGCAAAGTGTAGGATTTTATTATTGTATATTTGTTATTGTAATAACTGTGGAGAAAGAACAGGGCCCGACTGTTATTTAGACTCTGCACAAGCATACAGTAACAGACTAATTTTCTCCCAAATAATTGATGATCCATACAAATGAGGTACCTGTCCACATTCTGAGAAAAGAAATATAATGCTGAACCAAAGTGAGTATTAGGAAGGTAGTAAAACACTGTGTACAGACTTCTTGCATCTAGTAAAAAGAAAAAAGCTGGGGTTTTGAGCAAGATTTGGGGATGAGGTCAAGAGATTAGCTGGAGTGTCCTTGCCTGATTTTTTTTCTTTAAGTGTAAGGATAAGGAGCTATTCCATTAAAATGCTCTCAACTTCTGCCCTTGTTATCATCAAATCACAAATATATAACTTTAAGATGAGTCAAACACCCATTCCTGTATTCAGTTTAAGGGTAGCTGGATGCTTATTGACAGGTTGGATGCATGTAATGTGGTTTCAGAGACTGCAGATCTTAAAATCATAACACTGTTACAGCAAATGATTGAAGAGGAACAGTTGGATGTTTGTTGCATATAAAAACGGTCTGGATAAGTGTTTCAATTCGGATTCTCTAAGAGTAAAATACCTTCTGACCTTTGAAAACCAGTCTAGTAGGCTAACTTTAGGTAATTGTTCTAACAAATGTTAGTAGTCTACTTCTTGCCTTTTGACATGTTCTATGTATCCCTGTAGTGGCCTGGAGGGTCAGAATTTCTCAATCAATATGCTGCGTGAGAAAGTGAAGGGCTTTCTATTAGAACACAAAATTCAGACCTTTTACCAACAGGAGTTGGAAACAATTGATACTCTTGTGTCACTGGCTGGCATGCCTCTACCCCATCCTGGCGGTCAGGAGGTAAGTGAATGTAAATGTCACAAGTTCTTAGTGGAGGGGGAAATAATACCATGTACTTTTTTTAAAGCAGAAACAACCATATAAGAGACTGGTGCCTTCAGAAGATTCAAAATCCACAAGTACTTTAGCTTTATGAATGAGTTATTTAGAGCTTGAGGAAACCTTGTCTATATGAGACATAAAACTGGACTGAAGAAAGTCATATGAGAAAATTCTGTTGTTAAGGGTAATCTTGTATTGGGGCTGAGTAACCTTAGAATCTGCAATGGGAACTAACTTATCTAGATCTGTAAATAGTGGCAGTATCAGAAAAGGGAATCCCTGTAAGGTGTTTGAGCTGTTTGGGACAGATTTTTTGGGATCCTGAATTTGATCAGGGGAAGGGAGCATAAAGTCTGTCTTGTTTCTCATTTGAAGCTCAGTGTATTAATAGAGATGTAGCTTTCAAAAGGAGATTATAATGAGTGGATGAACAGTGCTCCCTGCTACGTCTTTCTTTTTGGAAAACCCTAGTTATGAAAGGCTATGATTGAGAGGATCAGAAGGTGGGATTTAATTGAAATCAGTTTACATGTAGTTGCCTGTAACCAAACTGTTATGAAACTTTCCAGTGAGATAGTATGCTTTTGATCCAACTACAGAATGGGAAATAGAACATAAGCCATATTACTCTGTTATTTGGATAAGTTACAAACCAGATTTTCAACTGGTGTGAAGTGGTAAATTTCTGCAAAAGTAACAGTTATGGCTTTTACCATGTTACCAATGGCAACTGAAACTTAAACTAGAGTGTTGTGACTCACTTGTTTACTTTTTGGTTTTCAATAGAGAAATAAATTAATGGCAGTCATTTTCACTGCCTGATTCTGATATGTACTGTAAAGTTAAGTGCTGTGTTATGTTAATGTCTGATGTTTAAAAAAAAATCAACACAAAACACAGTCCCTTGTAGATGAGGTCAAATAATGAAAAGTATCTCTATTTTTGTTTGCCTCATCAAATTGCTTCTTATAGCTGCTTCTTGATGGCTGTTTCTTTTTTATTGACAGCATTTTTGGTTTTGAAGCAAGCATGAATAAACAATAAAAGGAGCTACTCTCATTTTGACAGAAAATTTGGTACTAGAATAAATATCCAACATGGGACAGGATATTTTTCTAAACTAGCTGGAATAGTATTAAAAGTTCCGCAATACTTTACATTAAAGGAAATAGTGATCATTGTGACTAATATGGAAACTTCCATCTTTGAAGCTTCAAGAAAGACCAAGATTAGTAACTTGAAAAGCTATTCAAAGAAGGATCTAGTGCAGAACAAACACAGAAAGGCCTGAAAAGAAAAAAGCAATGCCAAAAAACCAAAACAACAAACTAACAAAACCAATGTAGCATCAGTGGTGTTAGCAGTCATAAGGAGCTATCATAATAATTAATAGTTGCTTCTGACCCTGATGCAAGGGTGTGAGTATATGTCCCAGGAATTTGGGCACACAGATGCTTATTTAGAAATTGCAGTTCTCCCTATTGCCCTTTGGTATTAATTCCTTGCAAAGAGGCTTATATATCTTTGCATAAGAAAGAACCTGCAGTTGTCAGGTGACCTGAATGCCTCAAGAAGAGTGCCTAGTAATGCTCGGAAAATGCATTTCATTGTTCCAGTGCGCTGCCTCTTGAAGGTGTCATTTCTTATAATTGGCAAGGGGTCAAGTACCCCATTTGATCCACAAAAATATGTGTAATAGATCTGATTTCTGTCCCTCTTCCTTTTGTTTCCCCTCTGTAGTCTTCTGGTTTGCATCACCCTCAAATCAGAAGGGTAAAGGGTGCTGCTAATGTGGAACAATGTTATTTCATGCCTATCTGGCAAGGCAGGAGCAAGATGAGTGGGTCAAACTAATTAGGCCACACCACAATATACACTCTTGTTCACTTCTTGCACTTTTCCTGAATGTGAAAGGATGAGTTATTTGGATGTATAACTTTTTTTTTTAATCTTGATTCCAGTGATCTAGAGCATAGTTGCTGTTAAACTCTTTTTGCCTCTCTTCCTTTCCCTGCGATCCTAGGAGATGTGGTGCATCCCCTTCACGTCTTTCCCAACTTTTAAAGTACTTGTACAGTGTTCATCATAGGGGGAGGGTATCTCCTCATGGACTGTTTTCTCCAGGGAGCTGGTGAGCTGCTATGGAGTCACTGGCAGTGGAGCGGAGCAGGGGGTGAAGATGGAAGGAGGTAGCTGGTATAGTTTGAGGTAGGCAGCATCTCTCTGTTCCCTTTCAGCATTACCATACCTGAGCCCTGTCCACATCCCATACGTGTCCCACAATACCTAATTCCAGTCCTAATGGCTTCCCAGAAGTGCAGTCTTCTGTCTCTCCAGAATAAATTTCCCTCTAGCAGATGCATGTGGCAGAACTCAAGTCATCATCTCTGCTCAGACATATACAAAGAAACACTTGATTTTACAGTCTACATAGGATGGGTAAGAGAATTGGAAGGCTTGGTGGCTTTAAAAATAATGAAAAATTAACAAATCTATTAGAATTTTTAAAATTAGTGGAACTTTACCTCACATAACCTGTGTCCCCTCTATCCCTAAGCTGCAGCCTTTCCCTTGTCCCTTCAAAGAAATTACTTTTGAGACTGGAGGAATGGGTACCACAAGGAAGACTGCAAGCAAAATATAGAAAAAGTAATCATGTGCTTAGAGAATCTAAAGAGTGTACATGCTGGACTGAGGCAATTATATTTGGCAAATGGACAAGCCTTTGGTTCCTTTTTAAAAAAAAAAACAACATGTGAACTTGATCCACCCAGTTTCTTAACTGGATTAAATATGACTTGCAACCAGCCAGTCTTCATTAACCATTTTTATGCACTTCTTCCATATGTAAGCTACAGTGTGTGCTATTTTAGTATTACAGTTCCAGTCTGCATATGTCACTAGCTTGGTCACATAACTTGGATTGTGCTTTCCATACTCTGCTGTTTGTACTTCTCTTGATTTGAGTATTATCTCAAGGTCAGCAATGACAAGTAGTTAAGGCAGGGAGTTTTACAGTGTTGTTCATACTTACTGTATATACCCTCTACATCGTACTGTAGGTATAACATAGTGGCTTATACATTCTTGATACCATGTGCTTATCTTCCTGACTCTTGAGGAAGCTTCACTGGTACTTTAAATATGTTTATTGCAAAGCTTATTATAGGACTTCAGGACTGACATGTCCAGAATCACTATTACTGAAATTGTTACCTGTCTAAACCAAGGATTAAACATAGCATGAGAAATTGCAAAGGGCAATTCCATGAGTAGAATCACGTGTGTGGTTATACCAGGAAACTCTAACACCATCAGGGTGTGTTATGATTCATAATGAGCCAAAGGTTACATACTTTCAGTGTTTTGAACAGACTTAATTCCTGTAGCACTTCATTCTTTGACCTATTATTGATTGTTCAGAGAGTCTGTCTTGTTTTAAAGATCTGAGAATAACTGGTTGCACAGCACCAGCCCACTAAGCTGTGTGAGACCTATTAGATGGAACATATTGATTAAAATACCAGTTTAATTCTGGAGACATGGATTCTTCTGTTGCCTTTGCTACAGAATTCTTGACTGGACTTGGGAGAGTAGCAATGATAAAATTGCTATTTAATAGCCACTTCTCTCCTCGGGCAGGGGAACATGTCTTGCATATGTGATGAATAATTTTTGGATGCTCCTGTGTTTGGGAGTACAGCTTCATTTATTTGAAAAGGACCTGATTTGGGAGAGAGGGGGGAATCCCTGCTGTCAGCACTTCGGGGAACTTGAAATTGTGCACCCTGAAACTAAGGCACACTGAAGGGGGGCACTTTGCTAAACAAGGTGTGAACATTGAGAGGTACATTCAAAATCCAGATTTAAATGTTGCTGCTGATGTGCTTTGGATCAGCAGTTAAATTACTTAATATCTGCATTTCTCAGATGAAGACCTTTATAAAAGTGAAGTGATGACTGATAAATTGTGACTTACAAGGAACTACGTTAACAGCTACAATACATCTTTGTAACTGTTGAAATACAAGCGTTTTTCAATCTCCTCCTGAAATAAGAGATGTGAAATGACATAGGACTTCATAGTCCTAGATTTCTTCTCTCTATGTATAACCCCATGTTGAGTCTCCTGTAGATTTCTGCTGAGTAGACGAACCACAAGCTCTGAGGGGAATCAAAGTCCAGAGGAAATAAGGGTTTGATTTGGCATTAAAAAAAAAAGTGATAAGGAAGAATTACTACTGACTTAAGAATTTGCGGGATGAGCTGCTGGAGAACAGATTAAATACTTTCAGATTGCATTCACAAAGAAACTCCTCAATTGTTGATTTACATGGACGGATGGAGAGGAAGCATTTTCTAGAGCACAGTAGGAAAAACCCAAAGCTTTTCTGTCATTTTGGGATAATATTAAAGCCCCTGAGGAGGGCAGGAGCCTTCATTTGTTCTTCAGGAATATTCTTCCTGCCATGGAGCCCTTTCCCTTGGAGACTGCAGCATGTATGAGAGGGTGCTGATATGTAGCAGCTGCTTACTTATTTTCTTGCTCCCAAGCCTGCCTCTCTGCCTTCGCTCTGTCAATGCCTTGACTTGCATTCTTAGTGATTCTGTTTCAGTATCCATCCAGACTGAGCTGTGTGTCAGTTCACACAGAGTCTGTTTTTAATTATCTCCCTTCTCTGACGGGTTCTCAGTGTTAAGCCAAACCGAATAATTATCATGCTTCTTTAGAGATATTTTTATCTTTTTTTTTTTCCTCCCCAAATGTTTGCTTTCACATTAAAAATTGATCAGAGTCTTGAGGTGGTTGCTTTGCTAGCAGTTTCTTAGATTCTTGAGAATTTATTACTGCATTTGAGTGAGGCAAAGTCTTCGTTTTACATATGGCTATGAGAATGTGCTTTTTTGTGTGAAAATATTCACTCTTTACTTAACCCTTCCTGCTACGTTTTATGTTTGTTTCTTCAGTTCATCAGTTGAGGCACTATGAAAAGAAATAAGATAGTGGTATTAACACTGTGATTGGAATGGTGTCCTGATGTACTGTCAAGTTTGTAATTAGAAGCACTATCTGTTGTTATCCAAACTGATATAGCAGTGGTGGACAGGAAGACAGACAAGCCAAGCCTTTGGGCGCTGAAATCCTTCAGTCTGGAACAGAAAGAATAATCACCATTGTTTTGTGTTAATTATCTTGAACTATTAGGCAATTATTTTTGACTGTTGATTTGAGAGGGAAAAGATAGTTCGCTGTTGTGGGACACAGAGAGAGAGAGAGAGAGAGAGAGAGAGAAATATTGAGGATTAGCTGAAGGAAGGGGATGGAGAAACTTGTGATACATGCTAACGCTAATAATCCCTATTGGATCTCTGAACTATTTCCAGTTAGGCACATCAGCTTCTAGACTTAAAAGCAGTTGGAATTTCACTTGAGACTTGCGAATGTATTGAAGGAATGTTTTGTGAAAATACATTCTTCCATTGTGAATGTGGTACCTGTTTCACATATTCATGTGAATTAATTCTAGTGCACGGTGGTTGCCTGTTTCACTCCCAAGGATTCTGTGAGTGTATCTGGTGAATAAAGTAGGATATGTGAAGACTAATACTTTTGTTCAGAACAGGGTGGGAGCATTTATGATGATAGTTGAAAAATGGCTTGGCAAATCTTGCTTTGGTTGCTCTGGTGTGGTTCTAGTTATCACATGTTGGTTTGTGGGAAGCAGTTTAGCTCTGTTCTCAAAGAAAACCACAGGGAGCACAGTATTCTCCCAGTAGATGAGGAAACAACAATTGGGGAATTGAAGCATTCTGTGTAGATAAATGGGAGGTTGAAGGACATAGTAGGACAGATAGAGATGGGGAAGAGTAAGTCACGGTCTTGCTCTTATCTAGCCATACTTTCTCTTCTTTGCAACCAATTATTTCCTTCCACTTCCCTAACTGTCATTCCACTATCCTGGCTCTGCTCTACACACAAACAAACACTGCTTTTCCTTTTCTCTCCCCGTCCTTCTGTCCTTCTTGTGTCCCAACACAAAACTCTGTTCTAAATAACATTCTCAGTTATGGACTTCCAGGCTTATTGTTCTCTTTTCACAAGACACTAATTTTCCACCTGCCCTCAAAATGGAATCCTTTGTTTCCTTATCTCCTATACCTGTCTTAATTTCTTTCATGTTCTGTGTCCTTTCATTTCATTAGGCTGTGGAGAAACTCTTGAGAGCATGGCCAGAATGTGTGTAAAATTTTGGAAATGAAGAGGACAAGAAACAAATACTGTTCTTGTCAGTTTTCTCCTTTTCCTTGGATACTTCTCAGTTTCAGATCAGGAGATGGAAATCCAGGCCCCAGCACTTGGATTCCTCCTGAATATCACCTTACAAAGCACTGATCTCCCTATCTCCCTACCCTTATTACCAGAAAAACTCTGAATATGAGCAAAGCTTGATTAGCTAAACAGTCAAATGCTCTATGAACATCACAAGCCTATTCCAAAAGAGTTCTCAGTGCATAATCAAGTAGCTGCTAAATACAAAGAAAGCAGTTAGGACATTGTGGTTCCTTAAGAATAGCACAAGCTTCTGGGGTGTGTCTGTTTGTTTTTTAAAGCTTGAGGATATTGGTTAGTTCATACATAACAGATAGGATTTGTGAATTACTAAATGAAGAAAAATATGTAACAAAATCACCTGAAGTCCTTTTGCTCTGGAAAGTATCTGGAGCTTTTGCTGATAACTTTAATTGAGCTGAGATTTCTCACCATGTGCTTCATTCCTTTCTTCCCATCCAGGTGAAGTCAAAAAGTGACTCTAGTTCCAAAAGGATTCACAGTGTTTTTAAGGAAGCAATAAGAATGCTACAAGAAGAAGGAGTGGTCTTCCAGAAACCTAGTAGCTCCACGGACTTATACCATGTAAGGAACTGAGCTGTGGTTGCAAACTTTCATAGTCAGTAGAAGCAGTAGAAATGTTTCAGGAACACTAGAAATGTTTCAGAAATCTGAACATCCAAGTGCTATCTGTTTACTCAGAAGTCTTATCTGCAGCTTGCTTCATTGTTGCTCTTACCTCTGCATCACCCGCTGAGTTGTTCTCTGTAATTCAGCACCAGACTTAAGCACTGCTGCTGTTTCAAGCACAGCCCGTGTTCACTGGGTTGCCAAACTGCACTGATGCAGCTGAGCACACTGAAGCCTGGGACCTGGGACAGTTCTCTTTATTTATCAAAGTGGATTGAAACTTAGTGTTCTACTGAGTTCAGTCACTCTCCTTTGGGTTGAATTCTGGTATATCATGTTCTTCACCTAACTCATGGACGCTGGTAATGGTACTAAAATAATAACTGAAGATTTAATGTTCTTTTTTAGTCTTGGAGGCAGTATATAATGCAGACTGCAGTTTTATGACAGAGTTTAGAATACGTCATGGCCTTGGATTGCTTTTCAACAGCCATGCCATCTACTGTTAAATAGACCGCTATAAATTGCCAGTTTCTTCTGTTTTCTCCAGGTGACTGACCATGATAAGGAGCTTCTCAAAGTGACCCTTGATGTGATTAAAGAAGACTGTCGAAAACCCAGGCGTAAGTAGCAGTGTGATCAGGGGTCTCATGAGCTGGTGCTGATATATTGATGGCAGTATCTCCTGCTGCTGCTGAATTAGATATCCTTCTTGTTCTTACCCTTGAACTCAGAGCTAAGTTGCTGGTGTAGCAATCAGTATAGCTAAAAGCAGGAGTGCAAGAGCAGCTTTCTGAGAGCATGGAGAGAGAGAGAAAAAGCAGGTGTGCCCAGCAGGAAGCAAATCTCTCAGATCTGAAATAAGCAGCCATTATCTTAGATCTATATCTTTTGAGAATACTTAAATTTTGGGAGGAACCATACGTAATAAAATTATGTCAGCACCTGGCAGCTGTTGCTTTGCACTCTGGCTAAGTAGCAAATCTTGCTAGTTCAGTTTCTACTGGGGAGTTGACTCAAAAGTGACCGTACAGAAAGGTGAAATCCCCGCCTCCATTAAGTCAACAGTAAACGTTACTTAAGTTGGTAGAGTATTATCTGTAGATTTTAGTTCAGGTAGAACTTAGATGGTTGTTCTTTGCAGGTAGGGATTTCAGTCTAAAAAAATCCACTTTTCAGATAATATGCCTCGGGTGGCTTCTAAATTGTCCCTGTCCCTCAGGCCTGTTGTGTCTTAACTGGCATAGCAATAGCTTATGCTTGACTTGAATGTCTGCTAATTACACAAGTATATTGCTATAGAGTTTCTTTTGATTCGTTGGGCAGAATATGTCAGCAGGGATCACTTGCTGCTGAAATGCAGGTATCTGTGGGGTAGAATACACTTTAGTACAGAATAAATAACTGATCAGAACATAAGGCATATAATCCTAAATTGTCCTTATGCTATCATAACTGTAATAGTGCTTACTGGACCTGGTAAATGATGGTTATCCTGCAGTGAAAAAAGATTAAGTGAAGTAGTAGTATTTTTTGAGTTTTCAGTTGGCTACCTTAAGCAGTGGTACACTGTCAAAAGGTTTGTAGGTGGAGGTGAAAGTTCTGTATCTCTGAGGATGGAGGGAGTAGATGTTATGGGCATGCAAGTGAAGATGGGTTTATTTGCCTGAGGCTGTTTCAGTGCAACAAATTACCATATCATTGTTTTATTGTGTTTTATCCAATTAACAAACATCTCCGTAAGAGTAAAATCATTACTCTGACAATTTTATACATCAGCTAGTTCTCCTGGGGACCTGTTTTTTTGTGGTGGTTTGTTTTTTGTTTGGGTTTGTTTTTTTTTTTTCATAATTGTGATACTATAGAGGCCAGAACCTCTATAGTATACAGTTGTCACAGGGCTCTGAGTGACTGACTACCTGATGTTTAACTCCCCACTTGTGCATTATCACACTGGTCACATACTCTGTGTTCCGTAAGAAGTTGGGAAGTTCTTTCTCCTGGTCAGAGTCATCAACAGCAGGCAGAAACTTGTAGATCCGTCACAGAAAAGACTTTGAAGAGTCGAGTCCTCAAATTCATGTTTTCCATACTGAGCAGGTTAAAAATAGCAACTGCTTTACAAAGCCACTTGCTCCCCTTGAAGCTTTCCACCGACTTACTTTCCTGTTGTAAAGAGGACAGTTTCAAGGTCAGTGTTTCTTTGCTAGTTTTCAGAAAGACCGTTTCAATGTTCTGGTCACTGGTAACAGGAGATTTTGAGAAGAAAAAAGTTTCAATCAAAACCAACAGAGTGCTGCGGATATTTTACTGTCACTGAATGATGCAAGAGCGCAGAGCTCAGTGTGACTGTCGGACCCCCTCTGCTGGTGGGATGGCACATAGCCACCTCCTTGGCCTTCACTAGTGAGCGGGCTCGTAGTGGGAAAATAAGAACATGGTAATACCTCAAGGGCTCTTGCTTGTTTGCAAGAAATTTATACCATTTTCCTTCAAGAGTAATATTAGTCTTCCATGACAGGCAGACTGATTTATCATAAAGCAAATTCATATCTCCAGTGAGTTACTTCTCTGCCACTTTTCAAGGCAATGCCTCACCCCATGGCTTCAGTTGCCTGAAACAAATAAAAATCTTCAGCCTGCCTAGTCAGAGCTCCACAAACACTGATCTGTAATATGCCTACATGATAATCCTAGTCCTTGGCTCCAATTGTAATTCCAAGCAGAATGATTTTAAATGCCCTCATGCAAGGCCACTGTGGGTCTAGCTAAAGGATTAAGATAGCCAGAAAAGGATGACTGTGCACTTTGACTCCAGACTGAACTGCAAAATGGTAGACTTAGTCCAGACTTGTTTGGGGTTTTTTTCTGACAAATTTGCTCTGGTTTTAGGCTTAGATAAGGCTAATAACAGAGAGGGAGAAAACAAACCACTGAAGTTAAGTTTAATATGTCAGGACCCTGTGTGAGATGTCCACAGTGGTCAAATGATAGTTGTTCTATAACTCTGTCCTCTCTAATATTGGTAGTCAGGCAAGACAGTTAATCATAGCTTGGCTTACCTCAGCTGGTGAACAAAAGCTGGAGCCCAGTATGTCAGTGAAGGAGGGACAGCAGCACTCCACTGTAGGGACTGTATTCCCTCAAAGTTAGGCCATAGACTAAGACTGTTTCTGGGTTACTTAATGATTGTACACACCTGCAGCTACCCCATAATGCCATTTTCTACTGGTATTAGTAGGAAAGTATGTATTGTACTGTTGAGTAACACTAATTCATCAAGACTTAAGTTACTGTAGATCAGGGATGGGCACTTTGGACTTCTTATGACAACCTATGACTAATGCAAAATGCAGCTGCTTACATTGTTTGCAACAGCAGTCACTATGACCAGGTAGAGGCATTATTCTGTTCTCTGTACTTGTCCTAGGGTGGTGGAGTCATTTTTGCCTACCAGCCAAAATCTGACTTCTGAAGAAATAGCTTTGATTCACAGCCTAATAGGAACTAGGCTGAACTATTTATTTACCAGTACTCAGCATTGCCGCCTCCTATCAGTGACTTTTCTCAGCAGCTTCTAAGGCAGTTCTGGGACTCGGCTGATTCTAGAGTGGAGTTTGGCAAAAATAAAAACAAAGGCAGCAGCAATAAAATTCAATTTCTCAGTACTAACCTTTCATCGTGTGAGCTGAGGGCTGAAGAGGAGGAAGGTAATTTGTGCTAATGTGTCTCATTTAAGCTAGCTTTCCATTGTTAGCTACAGAGGAGAAAGAAATCTGTTGTGGAGTTCAGCACCTGGGGAGACTGGGAGCCTGCAGCAGTGATGATCAGTGGGCTTATAGGGTCTGTTGGAGATGGAGATGTTGACGGGAACAGATGAGCTTCAGATGATGGCTCCACCAGGCACACAGTAGTGGTGTGCAATACTGCAGCCATTAAGAAGCTTTGTCTCTGTCTTGCTCCCTAGGAAAGGGGATTAATTTTATATTTCTGTTATGTTGTAAGTTTTCAGGATTCATTCCCCTTTAAAAGGAGATAAAACTTAATATTGAAGTTCTGTGACTTTCTACTCCTGTAATTGAGTAGTCTGTGGATACGGGATTGCATTGTTAGGTGAATGAAGGTTGCACTGCAGCAGTTTTTCCACAAGATGCCAGCATTGGGCAAGCAGTTACATATCCTGGCTAGGGACCTTCCTTCTGTTCTAGACGTTTTTGAAGTTGGGTATGAGCAAAAGGATTTTCATTTGGTTTCTTCTGCAGCTGAAGTTATTAACCTCATCATCTGGTCATACTGAATGAGCCATGTATATTAGAGTTTGCAAGACTTGATCATCTTTCACCTTTATTAGCGTTATAGCCCTGACACTTCCCAGAAAAGTCAGTGGGAACAGTTGATAATTGGAGAACTGTAGACACAGACTGGATCTCTTCCTTCTGGATACTCTGTACCTCTGCTTTAGTACCTAGGGCATTCTTCCTTTTTGACAATGATGGGTTTTTTCATTATTAATATGGAATATAGTAGTTAAAAAGAGGCAGTTAGACTAAAATCTTTCCTCCACATCTGGCTGCATTTTCCTTTTTCTTTTGCAGATGCTGAAAAAGGCTGCCATTTCCTTCATGTCCTGAGTTGTGTTCGGCAAAGCTACAATCCCTCTCTGGCTGAAGTGGTGATACAGCGTGTTTTGGAACTGCTAGAGAGTAACAGTGATGTTGTCAGCACTATGGAAGGATATTATATGGTATTTTAAAGAGAGAAGACAAGGTACATTTGTTCTGGTCCATTCAGGATAAAGGAGGGAAGAAGGCAAGTTTGACTGACCTTGAAAAGCTGCTATTACCTGGTGTGATCTGGATGGGTAAAACAAGAGTATTCTTAATCTCCAAATGCTGTTCTTGTTCAGATCCAGAGAAGTTGTGTAAATACTTGTTTTAATATTCTTGCTGACTTCCATGCTCCTTCTAGTGAAAGTTGTATCAAACTGATTCTGTATCAAACTTGTTCTATCAAACAGCAGAGGAGTTGAAAAAACACCTGGGCTCTTTTTCTGCAGTAAATGTGACATGGCCATCCTCACACTTACATCCAGTGACCCCTAAAGAAAAGTCACTGCTAAAGAGTGCTGTTTACAGCAGTGGTCACGTCAAGACTTGTTTTTCTGGCTTAAAGACTGATCCTGTGATCTTTCCATGTGGTAATAGCTGTGGATCTTTATTTTTATGTGTATTTTATAATAGCTAGAGAAAGAATATGCAAGCAAACAATCAAAAGATTTACCTGTCCTTCCCGGCAGTGTTGGTGTACCTATGTCTGTAAATATGTATTCCTGAATGTTCACAGCTTTCCCAGAATTAAAGCAGTCCTCACCTTTCTCTGAAAAGTAATATTCAGCAATGGGGTCCTGCATCCCTTCCCCATTCTGCAGCCTTGCACACTGCTTGTTAAGCATGTCTGGATTCCCCTGATTACTGTGTGTGCTACTGATGCTTGTTGTTGTTCAGGCCAGAATTCTCAAAATCAGACACCATTTTGGTGTTTATTTTTAAATTGCTTTGAATTGTTTAAAATTACATGACAAATGGTAAACCATAAATCAGATGCTTTTGAAAAGAAAATAAGAAAAACAGCAAGACCCTCTGTAATCCCCATGCTCCCTGTTGCCTTTTGTGTCTTCAATTCCTTGTGACCTTTGGGGAAAAATACTATCCATATCTGTGCTTGCAGAGGAACACAAGACATTGATGAAATAACATTGGCCTGAAGGAGGTTACCATGCAAGATATTTGATCTGGAATAATCACAACTGTTATGTGCCACAGTTCAAAGCCTGAAGCTGCTCAGTATTTCTCTTTAGAGAGGGCTTGCTGCAGCAGAGGCTTGTCTGCTTAATGAATGTGTTTAATGGCATGGAGGTGAGACCTTTAACTTTAAAAGAGTAGAAAGGATCGAATGTATCTTTCCTCTTCCCTCTGCACCTTCCCTGTAACATTTAAAATAGCAGACTCCCCGGGGGCAGATGTAGTGGTAAAGCCCTACAAGCATTGACATAGCAGGAAAAAATAAGCCATAAGCATGAGGAAAGCCAGTGAGTAGCCCCATGAGTGCCAGGTCTCTGGTTTGTTACATTATATACCTCATTCCAAGCCCTGGCTGCAGTGAGATATAGGCTAAAAGAAAGGCATGACAAAATATTTGGCATTTGCATTGAGGCCCGTGGAAAACTCTGGCCTTAGAGATGGTGCATTTGCCTGTAGTGAGGAAAACTATGTATGAATTGCTCTTTTACTGTAAATTCTCTACTTGCTGCAGGGCTCAACAGTTGATTTCCATGCAGCCTGCCCTACTCCTAGCATTGCTGCTTTGTGTTGAGTTGGGTGACTTTTAGTCAGATCTTAATGTGGGCCTGAACAGCTGCTGAAAGGAGCTACCCACGCCGAAGGAAATACAAGAGGATTAAGAAAGAACTGTATAAGTCCTGTCCCTACCCCATTCCCATCCCATCCTCTCTCTTGCCACAAATATGTCAGTAAATCAGGGAAAGAAGTCCAAATTCTGAGTGAAGTGGTACTGCGAGGAATTGCAACTTTAATTTATGATTACAAAAAAGCCTGGTTTTCCACAGGGGAGATTTGCTTTTCAGACTCCTGCTCTGATTACTAATCAGCTTGAAGTGATGCTTAAAAGAAAGGCTATCTATGGAGGAGGTAATTTGGAATATTGATTTCTAAATTCAAACTAACTTCAGGAGTTAAGTGTACATTACTGTTTGATTATGGACAAGTCTCCTACTTGGCATCAAACTCCAAGTTTGAGGATATTTTTTAAGGAGAGTGCTATGTCTTGGACCATATGGAAGAGCATGGTATCTAATTTAAGAGTCTGGCTTGGCTATTTTCTAAAAATGTTCTGTATTACAGAAGCTGATTTTGCTGGGAAAGGGTTAAAAACACTGCTAGCTCTGTGGGAAAGGTGATTTCTCTTAGAAGACAGACAGACTTTGGTTCTCCTGAGGATGTCAGCCAAGTGTGGGGGCTGGATGAGTTTTGGGAGGAGCTCTGCTCATCTAAATATTGGAGGAAAAGATAGTCTGGAGATCATCTTGCTCTGTAGGGTCTCTTTAAAATAAATTCATACCAAAATAGGATGACATCTTTGTCCTTCGCAGCTTGTATAGTCAGTCATACATGCAGCTTCTAATGGGTTCTGTTGCTTCCAACTTTGACACTGCACTTCCTGTGTTTTAGATGTGTTTTTGTGTAAAGTTTCCCTAAAACCACTAGTCACCTATTCTCTGTGCATTGGAGGCTGATGCAGACATGCAATTTAAAAGCACTGATCAACTGTGACACCTCAAAGATGACGTGGGAGAAACTTATCTCAGGAAAGACAGATAAGTTACTCTGGAAAGAACCTGTCCTTGGAAGTTTTTAAGTTAGTCCTTGTTGGAAATGCTGAGTTCTTGTGATGGAGGGTGTGTTCTGTTGGAGATGACTCCCCAAGAACAGGAAAAAGGGATTTTTCTCACTTAACTCAGGGAAGTAGTATGAATGAACACAAGGGAGTCTACAGTTTTTACAAGAGTGAAAGGTTAAGGTAAAATTAATGGAGAGTGAAAGGTTAAGGTAAAATTAATGGAGGTGCCTAAATTTAAATTACACAGATTCTGATTCTGAATAACTACAGAACAGTTGTGCCTTAAGCTTGCATGCTTTATTTTTTTTCCCCAGTAGCCACCCAACACAGACTAAAACTTACTCTGGTTGAGTGCATTCCCTCTTTTGTACCTACAGGGAATACCATATGCGTACGCCTGCACAGAAGTACCCCAGCTAGCTGTGGAGCACAGAGTTCACTGTAGGTTGATTTACCTATTTACTCAGTATCTCTACAGTATGCTTCTGTGACAGCAGTCTAGACATACCCATATTGGTATAAGTCACCTTTATGTAAGTCTAACTACACACACTAGGGCTTTTACTGCTAATAAACTGTCTCTCTGTTTAAAGATCATATCCTTAACCAAGAGAGTCATATCACGCACACTGTTAAAATTCTTAGACTTAGACCACACCTACAAAATATTGTGCAGAACATTCAGTGAAAGTGCGCTTTCTTGTTTTGTTTAACTTGAAAACTTGTTAGGCAACACAATCATTACTGGTTTACTAAAGGATTTTGAAGGTGGCACTTTAATGTAAAAGTGAGAATTCATGTTGTAGAACTGCTTCATGGCCAGTTCCAGTTTCCATGGAAACAGTTATGGCAGTAAAAGGCAGGTAAGTAAAATGGAGTTTTTAAAAGCAGTCAGCATTTTTATGTTACCTTAAAAGGGTATGTTTCCATAGAAATGCAGCTTCTGAGAAGAAAAATTACCAAAGAATCTTAATATCTTTTTTCTAGGAACATGTAAGGTGCTTTCTCGTTTCCTCACCAGAAAAGCAATCAACTCTACTTTTGGTCCTTGCCACTTGCTTAGGTGAGAGATGACATTGCTTCATGCCTCAGTTTCCCTCTTTTGTAAATGGGGGATAATGCAGTTTCCTATGTAAGGTATAAGCCTCAATTTTTCTTAATGTTAGTTATTAAAAGTCCTTGAGATCTGTCAATCGGAGCTGTTAGAGAAGAACTCTGCAGCTCTCTAGGAGAGAGTGAATGGATGGATGCTGGAGTGGAATTTAGTTCTAATCGAAGCCCCACTGCTGCTAATAGCTTTATCCTTCTCTGCCTCGCTTTCCATATATATTGCTTTGTCTGTCTTATCTTTTGCTCTCCAGGTCCTATGAGGCAATGGTGGTCTCCTGGTTTTTATTTGTATCAAATATTTTTCCTGGAATCCTGTTCCCTCTTATGATTTTGGAAATGACTTCTTAAAAATAGAAATCAAAATAAATGAGTTCTGAGTGTTCTTTTTCTCAAATCTTTGGATAGTAAATTTGTACCCATGACGGTAAGTATTTTACACAAGCTACACAGGAAATTAAGCTTTCTGTCAAAATAATAAATGAAAAATTTCAAGATTGGCAACATGACTGAAAACTGTTACTTTTGTGGATCTGTCCATACTTGCATATTCCAGTGATAATTCATTATTCAGAATGAGAATTCATCAACGAGCAGCCAGTGAGGTATGGAGCCACATGGAGAATTATGAGCCAAAGTACTGAAAATCTGCTTGTCAAAGAAATACAGTTTGATTTACTCTGGGAGTAAGCTGATCCTGCAGGGAAAAGATGTCCCTAGTAAAGATTTGTATCTTTATACTTACCTCTACATGGGAAGGGAGCAAGTTCAGATCCCATGGGCAACCTGAATTTTGAAACTTCCTGTCACTGTGGCACTACATTCTTTACTGCTGTCTTTCAGCATAGTCTCTAGCCCTCCTGCCCCAACCTGACAGGCTAGCGAGCAAACAGAAGTTCAGCCGCAAAGATAAAAGAATAGTTATAATAATTGGTTACCATACTCTACGAGCCCCAGCATTACAGAAGCATTTTTGTGGATGTTTGTTGGCAGCAGGGAAATGCTGAGCCAAGGATCTTGGGTTTCATTCCCAGCAATATGCCCTGTCAGGCACAGAGGCTTTCCCCCTGATTTCTTTCTATTTCTGCTCTCCGCTCTCTCCTCATTTCTCATGCCTTTCTTTTCATTCACAGTGTCATGGTTCATCTCTTCACTGTGGGTCCTGGTCAAACCTTCCTTCCTTTATACTTGGTTCCTTTTCTTTCCTAACTCAAATATCCTTGTCAGCATTTGGCAATTGAAAGTTTCAGTATAATCCCCTTGCCTAACTGACCTGGCACTTTTCACAGCCCCTTTGGTTCCAGCAGGCTGTGCTTTGTACCTTGTCTAGGCACCAGAGAAGGCAGGTATCATCCACTTTACCTTCAAGCTTTCTTCCTGATGCAGTTTTCCAGCAGGAAAGAGCTGCAATTTTAAGGAAACAATGCTTTTTCCACCCCACCCTCCCAAAGACCCAGTGGCACCCTCAGAGATTCCAGTAGTGATTTTCTTGCAGGTATCCAAGTACAAAATAAATATAATTAGAAAATAAAACACTTGTGTCTTGCCTAAACCAGAGCAAGCACAAGTCACATCCCAGACAGAAGCTATCTGCCCCTCGCTGCCACTTTAATGTCCTTGCAGATTTCATTGCAGACATGATCTGTAAAGTTCACGTGGACTTTTAGTTTGTCTCCTTTCAGCCTGTTTTTTTCTGAGAAAGTGGGATTATACTCTGATGTGAGTATACCATGTGTCTGGGCATTTGTCAACTTCTGTCTCGCTGCCCCAAGTGACTTTGTAATCTGTTGGCTAGTTAAGAGGGCTTGAAGGACCCTGAGTTGTTATGGTCTTTCACCTTTTTAGAAGATGGATGCACTGATAGAAGGGGGGAGCCCAAATTAGGGCCTCCATTAAGGGGAAGGAAGCAAATCAGTCATATAACATTAAAGAAAGCACACACAAGACAGCCCCAAGGAACCTGGTTTTGTAACTTCGATAACTGCAGCTGCCACAAGAAGTACTTGCTTTGCAGTTCTCTTAAGAAATGACTGGACTGTTTTTCCTGAAGCTTGCTCACAGAGATCACCCCAAGGCAGATATTTGTGATGGGAAACTGCAAATCAAACCATTAAAATCTGCTGAAGTTACAGCATTTACATCAGGGTACAAAGATGAGTAACTGATTACTAGGGATGCCACCAGCCCATTCCCACTTTTTAAAGTGCAATGGAGGCTACACTACTCTAGTCACAGTAATTTACAAGTTGAAACCAGCCCAGATTAACAGGATTGCCTGTGCATAACATAACTAGGAATTTGCTAGTGAAAGAAATAACCTAAAGGAATGATTTTCAGTAAGTGTTGAACCACCAAACAGTGCAGTGCCAATTAACCTGGCACAACATGTCTACAGCTCTTGTTTTAGCTTGCTTTTTGTTATTGATTGGAGAATGAATGCTCCTTCCATACCAGCTAGAACTGGAGCTCTCTACCACCTTAGATTGTGATGAACAAGCTGTGAATCTACAAGCATATAAAGGCCAAAACATCTGCTCATCTTGCTTGAAAACTGGAGAAGTGGCTGTGGCTAAGCCACTGCTTCCATGGAAGATTTAGGATGAGACATCTACTCCTTTGTTGTTCTTTTCAATTTCCCCAAGTTAAAAGTAAAGCAGACTGGAAAGTCATCCTATCTCTGCTGTGAACAAGGTAAGATAAATAGCAAATGTATGTCACTGTGTAACAACCAATGTGATTAAATGAAGTATGTGCCAAGTCTGTTGTTGACCTGGAAAGTGCATGGCTCCTCCCAGGAGTGGAGACCTCATCTAAATACTACTCTGGTATTTGGAAATAGGAGGGAGGAATTGGTGCCCTCAGATGTCTTTCCTAACAATAGAGCTGTGCAAGCCCTGCAGGCTTACCTGGTTCTAACATGCTTTTCTTGGCCAGGTACAAAGGTGGTAGGGAAATGAAAAGGGTACTTGGAGTTAGGGTTTTCTCATATGGCCAAAATTTAAGCCATTCACATTGAGAGCATAGGAATTGTCCTTACGTGCATGTAGAACTATTCTTTGTTGTAATGTCCACAAAAAAACCCAGAGCTGCAGCAATCCAGCTGGTGTTCTGAAACTTACACTGCTAACTAATATTCTCTCATTCTTTTCTTCCCTCACCTTGTTGTCTTTTCCCCAGTAAAGTCTCTTGAACTTAATTCCTGGTTCAAAGTAGTTATAGTCTCTGTCTTTGTCCTTCTGTGAGTACAGTGATCCGGGACAAACATAAGAGGAGCAGACTGATACAGAGTTTTTGTTGGAACTCTGAACATAAGAAAGGATGAGAAATACAGAGGAAGCTGAGGGAGGAGGATTTAGCACAAAGATGTTTGAAATTAGCCCCCCTGAAAAAGGCTAAAGAAATAGTTGCCAAATGATGCTTTAGACATCTGCTTTAGAACAGGCAGCAGGTGTTGCATGTAATGAAAGCACGGACTTGTACTATTTTATTTTCTGCAATTAGAAAGTAGGGGAGGAAATGAGGGCAGGAAAAAATGGAGTAGGAGAACATTTATCATAAACAGCTGAACAAATTTATATAGAGTACAGTAACATTTATATGTTCTTCCTCTGCCTTTCTTACACTATTGTTTAACAGTTCCTCTGTTCTGCAGGGTATTTTGTCTTTTTTTAAAGACTAATGCCTTAGATGCTCACAGTTAAATGCTAAAGTAAGATCTGGCCACCAAACTGCCTTTGAGGATCAAAATGTTCAGGGCCATGTAATTGTCACTTACCCAGGTGCCATTACTAGCTGATGGAAACAGTTGTGATGGTGAAGCTGCCCTTGTCTCACAGGTGGTCTCTGTGTGCCTTGGTCACTAGACCAGTGGTTGAGAAAGACACCCATCAAGGAAATGGTCTTTAGTGTTGCATCCCTGATGCTGCACAGCCATAGCTTAACACATGCCCAGATCCAAGTAGATACCTGGAATTATGTGGCCATTATTACACACCAGACCCTACTAGAGAAACTATAGCTCTACTTTCTACAAGACGTTTTCTGGTTTGGGATGATCTCATTCCTTTTTCCAAGCTGTAAACACACTACAGGGCATTTGGTTCTCATTTAGGTCGGAAAAGACATTTAAGATCATCAAGTCCAACTGTTAACCAACCACTGCCAAGTCCAGTACTGAACCATGTCCCTGAGCACCGTATCTACACCTTTTAAATACCTCCAGGGATAGTGACTCAACCACTTCCCTGGGCAGCCTGTTCCAATGCTTGACAACCCTTTCAGAAGATGTTTTTCCTGATATCCAGTCTAAACCTCACCTGGCACAACTTCAGGCTGTCTGCTCTTGTCCTATTGCTTGTTACCTGGGAGAAGAGACTGACACCCACCTCAATGCAACCTCCTTTCAGGTAATTGTAGGGAGTGATAAGGTCTCCCCTGAGCCTCCTTTTCTCTAGGCTAAACAACCCCAATTCCCTCAGTCACTCCTCATAAGACTTGTTCTCTAGACCTTTCACCAACTCTCTCCTTGGCCATGCTCCAGCACCTTGATGTCTGTCTTGTAGTGAGGGGTCCAAACTGAATGCAGTATTTGAGGTGCAGCCTCACCAGTGCCAAGTACAGGGGGACGATCACTTCTCTAGTCCTGCTGGCCATACGATTTCTGATACAAACCAGGATGCTATTGGCCTTCTTGGCCACCTGGGCACTCTGACAGCTCATATTCAGCCGGCTGTTGACCAACACCCCCAGGTCCTTTTCTGCCAGGCAGCTTTCCAGCCACTCTTCCCCAAGCCTGTAGTGTTGCATGGGGCTGATGTGACCCAAGTGCAGGACCCACACGTGGCCTTGTTGGATCTCATACATTTGGTCTCGGCCCATCGCTCCAGCCTGTCCAGATCCCTCTGTAGAGCCTTCCAGCCTTCAAGCAGATCAATGCTCCCGCCTAACTTGGTGTCATCTGTAAACTTCCCGAGGGCGCACTCAATCCCCTCATACAGATCATTGATCGAGATATTGAACAGAACTGGCCCGAATACTGAGCCCTGGGGGACACCAGTCATGACTAGCTGCCAACTGGATTTAACTCCATTTACCACAATTCTTTGGGCCTGGGCACCCAGGCAGTTTTTTTACTCAGTGAAGCATATGCCTGTCCAAGCCATGAACAGACAGTCTCCCCACAAGAATGCTGTGGGAAATGGAGTCAAAGGCTTTACTAAAGTCCAGATAGACAACATCCACAGCCTTTTCCTCATCCACTAAGCAGGTCACTTTGCCACGGAAGATCAACTTAGTCAAGCAGGATGTGCCTTTCATAAACCCCTGCTGACTGGGCCTGATCTCACTGGGTTGTCCTGCACATGCTGCGTGATGGCACTCAAGATGATCTGTTCCATA